GTGCTGAAGACAAATTTGCTTCTACAATGCTCCATGCGCACTGTTGAATCCCTCAGAAGAACATAGTCCAGAAAAGGGACTTTAATTAAATCCAAGGTTTTCGGAACTCCAGAGAGATTTCTCCTCTCCTGTTTTTGGGAACCTGAATTGGACTGTAAAGGAAATCTGCATCAGGGACCAACAGATTGCCCCCTCTTTTCCTTGACTTTTTGATTCCTTTGGCACGAAGGGGGGATAATATCTGATCCGATTTGAATTACACAAAATGTCTGTATGGAAGTATTTTATTTGGGGGTAAAGGGGTCAGGGAGAGACAAAGGAAGAAACTATGGAAATACATTTTCCAATACTCAATGGACGTAATGGGGGGAGTGTCTGTTTCTGTTAAAAGCTGGACAGAACCACACACACACACCAAGGCTTTCAAATGCTCTGGAGTATCTCAAACCAGATGGGCATTCAATAGTCCTACCTTCGCGAGGAATTGTTTCACATCAGTTTGTCTGCCAAGGATGCCTTGGCACACTGGCCACAGAACAACTGCACACATGACAAGGCTTACGTCCTTGGATTTACTCTCGGTTCATGCTCAGAGCCAGCCAGGTTTGTTGGGCCTACCTTTTGTTGGGCACAAACTGAGGCCTGGCTCCAAGAGGAATCCAGCCCTTCTTTAAAACTGGGCAATGAAGGAGAAGCTTGACAAAGATAGCCAACTCTGCCTTGTATACCATCTTGGCACCCACCACAGACATTTTCCTCAAAAAGCCTTGATAAAGATTAACCTATGGTGCCATAGAACTCATCTTGAAAACAACTGCCCTGAACAAACAACAAGGCTATAATGGACAGCATGCGGATATTCTGGAGGCTAATTTACATAGCACTTTTCTAGGTATGGAATACCTCATTCCTCTCTTACCTTGGAGCTGTGTGTGTAAAGCAGGGGAGAGGGAGATTTTTCATGATTTCCCACTCCTTGGGGGCAAAGGAAATTTAAAAATGATAGCAGTCATAATAGTAATACAACAAATGATTTTTTCCTTAATCTCCAGCAACTTTGGGAACAAAAAACAAAACAAAACAAAAAGTAAGAAAAGAGAGAACAGCATCATCTTAACAGGATTGGTTATTTCAAATTTGCTGAAGTGCCCATTCAGGAATATAAGATCAATTTATAGCTTCCCAGTACTTGCCCTCTACAAGGACATTTACATTCAGTGTTTGTCAATAGTTATATGGCTCAGCTGGGCTCCCGGTAGGTGGCCCATTTATCTAACAATGGCAGTGCAAATACACTTGTCAAGCTGAAATGTATTTGTGCTGTTTTTAAAAACACAACTTCCCTTTGTTCATTAATTCTCTAAAGACATGAAGTTAATTAAAAGAATTCCCCCCCCCACCCCACTAAAAACAAACAAAACAAAAAGAGGGGGGAAAAACCAAAACAAAATTCCTCCTGATCCCATTTCCCCTTGCTGGCCTTTTTCCTATGGGTTGCTATAAAAAGGGGGAACTAGACCCTCATGCTTTTAAACAAAAGTGCTTATTTTACTTGTAAAACAAGTGCTTTGGAGAAAGATGGTTGGAGAGAAACTTCCTTATTTGGTTAAGGAGGGAAGCTCAATGATTGCTCTTAAAACAGATTGTTTAGGGGAGAGGACAGAGAAATCTGAAAGTGTCTGCTGAGATCCAGAGAAAAATGTTCAAAATCTATGCCATTCTAAGGAGGGTGGCAATAGGAACAAACCAAAAGCAAGATATCTGCAAAGGGAAACAACATTCCACTTCCCCAACCCTGCAAAAAGAAAAAAGGAAATACTGCACATTTTTAATCAAAAATGCGCTTGCACAATACTGGGCAGAAGGGCAGGGGAAGAGAAGAAGAGAGAAGACAGGAAGTAAAAAAGGAAGTTTGCCTCCAGCCCTCTTTAACAATGCACTAGGGAAAATCAACTCTCATCTTAGCACAATAATGCAAGTTATTACCACCAGACACTTTGATTATTACTTAAATTGTCAAGCTGTGCTGTCAAAATGTACATGTTAACAACAATAAAAGAGAACAAGACTGGCAACTACAACACAACTAGCCACAGTTCTTCACCACCCACCTATCACCGGCTCTTTATTTACTTAGTTTTTTAAAAATAATAAGAATAATTCAGGTATGCGCTGCTGGAATTTTTTCCACTCCATTTTCTTCTTCATAATCATTATTTCGAAAAAGAAAAGGGGAAAATAAGGGGAAAACTAGAGCATAAAAATATTAATGCATGATGCTACAGAGCTAAGAACACTGAAGCCCTTAAAGAGATCACATTGATTGTCATATATTGAATTTTATGTTTATACATGAGAAAAGGAACACATTACTAGCAAGAATGCATTTAAGAAATGATCAAGTGTTAGATTATTATTTTTCTTCAGTTAATAAAAAGTAAAACATGCATTATAACCCGCTACAATCCTAATAAAAGAAAAGGAAATGCAAGCACAACCCATGTCTTCAAGGGCTAGGAAATTCCCTTGTTTTGAAATGATCTTGGAAAACCTATCTCTATTTCAACACCCCTACCCCATTCCCCCAAAGCCTTTGCATTTTTAAAGCCACACCAGCTGTTTCAAAATGATGGTACTGAGGGAGTTTGATCTCCTTAACTCTATATCTCCGTAACACTCCACAACCAACAACACCGGATCTCCAACACAGAAAACTGCTATAAATCATGAGGCTCACAAATCTCCATTGAAAACATAGGAGCACAAAGGTTTCCATTCTGAGGCATAGCTATACCTCTGCTATGCTGTTTCAACAGAAATACACATGCCACTGGGTAACAAAAATTGGTTTCTGTTGCTTGGTACGGGTGAGAGTGCAAAGTCAACAGCAACATCCAAAGGACCTGAAGATTTCTCAGTTGATCCAAACTGTATCACAACAGTTAGCACACAGTATCCCCTTCCCTTGCCACTTTCTTCTAAATATCTCAGTCCCAAAGACTTTAGATAGAGGTTTTTGGCCCTTAGAAAAGGATTAAATTGTAGCCCTTAAAGGGGAATTGGGGGGAAAAAAAGATAAGATGTGGTTTCGGAGTCAGTTCCCAACAATCTCCCTTCCCCTCTTGTGTGGCAGGGCAAGAGGAATGCACTTCGAAGGCAAAACTAAACTTACGCAATTTGTTAAGTTGCAAATTGCTAGTACCTTTTGAAAAACAATGTAAACAAGGTTTTAAATTATTTTCAACTCTCTCACTAAAGAGTGCCCCCCAAAAGGACCTTTCTGTATTAAAATGTGGGTAATGGTGAGGAAAGGGGATGTTTAATTCAAGTTTTGTTCATTTCTATTTCAACGTGAGGTATTTGGTGTAGAAAGGTTAATACTTTCTTTCAAGGTAGAAAACTTGAAGCAACCGAGGGCAGAGAAAACTAACCTGATCATAGTGCAGCAAGGAAACTCATGGCCAACTTGAAATAGGCTGTTGCTGTGCTTTTTGGCAAGTGCGTTAAACCTTAGTGTGCACATGTCTAGCAGCTGCAAAGGGAAAAGATCTCTCAAGATCCCTTGGGCATCAAAGAAAGAAAAACAGCTAAGCTAGTAGCACCCTAGTCTTTGTGGAAGGCTTAGTTGAAGGAAATGGCTGGGCTTGTTAGAAGACTAGAACTTGCTACCTTAAGGCCCCCAGTTTTTGCAATCCAATATACAGCAAACCAACAAAACGTTCAGCTAATGCTTAAACAGCTGATTCAGTACGATATGCAAGGGTCTGTGGGGAAGACAGAGTCCATTTGGTTGGGAGTAAACAAAAGGAAAATAAAATGAAGACGGGGAAACTTTCTTTAAAATGCACTGTTAGCCAAAGGACGAGATTACAGCTTCAATATTTGGCTCTAGGAGTTTGGCTTTGGTAAATTCAACAGTGCCAAAAGGAAGGGAAATCTCATTTTACTTTTGTCTTTTGTGCCTCTGGATTAAGCTCCTTTAAAAATAAGGTCCACTCCACCAGCCACACACCCAAAAGCTGGAAAGTCTCTTATTTTCTTAGAAAGAAGCTAGGCAATGCCCAAGCAAGCATGGCTATGGAAATAGCAGTTGTGTTCACCCCACTTTACAAAATCAGCGCAAAACTAGAGGGAGGGAGGGACTGGCTTTCAATGTACGTTTTTGGTTAAAGAAACTGTAATTCATAAATATATATATTTACATTTTAAAGTGTAGAAATGCACCATGAAGCAGGATGGTTCCAAGCATAAAGCTGGCTCATATTTTCTCCTTTAACAGTCTTACTGATTCCATAAGGGGAGGTGGCTGAGGAATATAAAAAAACTAGTTGTTTCACAGAGTGACTTAGCCCTAACAGCTTACTGGTCTAGACATCCAACATCCAGAAACAATTCATTCTGCAAATCCCCTACACTTTGCCAACTACTGGTCCAATAACCAGCACAATACTGCAGAACTGGGAAAGAAGAAGGAAAAGATTGCTGGATCAAACATTTCTTGCCCTGGCAGCCCTCAACCAACTGCTACATCCCAATCTTTGGCTTTGAATGTACTTCTGATATGATTTTTTAAAAATAAGATTCTACGCATGATACAATTTACAGTACAAAAAGGGAAAAAAACAGTGCATACACTTAAATGTGTAATAAATACAATTTTTAAAATAAAAACAAATACACTAACCCAATCCATGGATGTATCTACATACACAAAACACAGACAAGCCCTAATGAAACCTGCTAGATGTCATTCTAGTGGGACAAATTATAAATACAAATGGAGGATTGTTAAGGTTTCTGAAGTGCATTTTTCCTTGCAAAAAAAGATCTTTTTTTTTTAAGGATAAATGCATTTTCTTTATAAATAGTTTCTTTTCTTTTTTAAAAAGCAACACTGACTTGTCTAAAGTGGAAATACTGCACAACACAGAGAAGGGAAGGAGCCACAAAGGAAATTCTCTTTGGAGATCCAATAGTTTGTAATCCCTCTGCCCCCCCCCCACCCTGCGCCCCCCCCCCAAAAAACACAAAAATCAGCCTCCAAAAAGAGAAAATCCCTAAAGTGCCTGATATGGTGGTGGGGATAATTCTGGCAGCGCATACATAAATTATCAGACAGGGCCGCAGTCAAAGTCGGGCAACAGCACCCATTTTGCATACAAGGGAATACGAGCTGCCTAAGGTATCCTAGTGTCCCAGGTACAGTAGTTCTCAATTCAAGTGTTTTCACTGGAATCAAAAAGGGCAAGCATGACAAACAAACAACACACAAACAAAATTACTAGAAAGGAAGGAGCAGTTATAGTGGCACTTTGCCAGGAGCTGCTGCCCTTCTTTGCGGCCTCTTGTTTACCAAAACACTAATGCCAAATGAAAATAAGGAGGAAGTCAGGCTTCTGTTCCCACCTAGACCTCATGGCCAACAGAAAACTGTTCTCAGTTGTAAGGCATGGAGAAATGTACTGCAAAGTGACCGAGGACTAGAACGACGCCTGGGATGGGCAACTTTGAGAGGTTCCAAATTTCAATTTCAGCCTCCATCCAATTAAAAATTGGGCCTTGTAATGCAGCAAATGCCAAATAAAATTAGTTTAGGTTTGCCCTCTGTTCAGTTCTTGAATGCATCAAAGCCAAAGGATTTGGGATTTCAAAAGCTGGCCACTTTAAAATTAACCAAGCCACAGGCTCATAACCAACAGACAAAATGGTTGGATGAAGGACAGGGGAAAGCAGAAATCAAATGGATTGTTTCACGGAAAATTTTAAAGCCAGGATTAATAAAGCAGAAACAACTATCAATTCGTTTTTGAGCCACACAGCTGACTTAATTTCAACACAAATGATGCTAATGTCTCGATGGGAAGCAGAAGCTGAGATCCTCCACCCGCATTCCTTTGGATGACCTATCCCAGTCTTGTTCTCCTTTAAAGTGTCCTATATTTATAGAATTCCTAAATAAATAGAAGATATTAGATCACCCATCATGGTTTCTTTAAGCTACTCAGAGTAACAGCCATCTAAGCCGATGGCATTGTGCCTATCCTTGGTGTAGGGGCAGCTGTTGCCGTTGGGCAGGGCACTGCAAGCTGCTGTCTTGGCAGCAATGCCGCAGTTCTTGAGGAGGTTGAAGCTGAAAGGGCTGATGGCGTCTTTAGGTGGAAAAGGCTTCATGGTGGAAAGGATAAGTGCCAGGCAGTCGGCAACATCTTTGTTGGGGGCGCAAGCCAAGGCTGGGGTATGGCCTGTAAAAACAAACAGACAGACAAACAAGCTCAATCCTAATCCCACACATGGTTAAGCTCCCATCCCCAAGAGAAGTACCCCAAGAGCTGGACCAAGTATTGAGCACACCTTTAAAAACACTTTAATTGTACCATGACTAGAGAGATTCAAGTTTCCCTCCTGTACCAATACAGGAAATATTTAGTCAAGGGCACTCTGAGTTTCCTAATATCATCCCTGTACCCATCTTCCCTGTTCCCATCTCCTCATCCATTGTTATGTTTGTGGATATAAACTAGGAAGACAGAGAGCAAGAGAGAGTTAAAACTCTCATCTTCTCAATGCAAGGTTGTGAATTAAAAGAAAATAGTAGATTCTACTACTAACACTACTGACCTGGTCCTAAAAACTATTATACCCTGTTCCTTATTCCCACATAGCAAAAGGCTGTTCCGCCATAAGGACAAGATAGCCTGCACTTTTCCTTCCCGGGAAATGCATTTGCTACCATGAGTACCACCTCCTCTCACATACAGAGGGAAAGCATCATCCATAGTTTATCTTTACAATCCCTGCTCCATCACCAACTTTCGCAATAGATCAGAAATGTGGAGATATTCTTTTGGTCTTAAGAAACAAAGAAAGGCTGGCATGAAAGCCAGCAGATGTCATGCCTCATCCATCTGTAAGCAACATTTCCTCCTTATTCACTCATAGATTTTTCACATAATTAGAGTCACATAGACAGGAGAAGCCCCTTGGTCCTGGCCTCTCAATCAGTTCCCTGTCCTTCTTTCTGCCAGAAATGGAGAATTATGGGGTTCTCCAGATCTTACTGGATTGCAACCATCATCAGCCAGTGTTACTCATGGTGACAGATGATAGGAGTTGCTAACCAACATTTGTTCCTCATTTCTGTTTCTACATGCTAGGGCTGAAGGTATGCAGCCAGAAGTCTCCAGATACACTTCTATCATGAGCTCTGTAGAATGAGGCAAGAGTCACTAATACTACTCCAAAAATTGCTGCCATGTGAACCTTTCATTACTGTTTGATCAAAGGATTTCGATTCATCCCGTTGGATATCTCTTTCCCACCAGCCAGGAAAATATGGCATTGTACCTGACCCTACTCATCCAGAAGTCTCATGGCATGAAAAATACACACCTTCTTCATCAACAGCAAGCACAGTGGCACCTCTGCTCAGCAGAGCTTGAACAACAGAGGCCAGTCCATTTCGAGCTGCAATATGGAGCGGCCTGTGCATTGCAGGAAGAGAAAGGGAGGTTACTAGACAAACCTTGGAAGAGGGAACAGAACTTGTCTCTTGAGAGCAGTCATAGCTCATAAGACTCATATTCCAATAGAGGAAGATCACACAGCCATTTAATCTATGTGTTGAAAGAACCTGAGTCTTTCCTCCAATGAATTTTGTAAAACTTGGAAAGGATATTTAGCTTTCTTTTTGGAAAGGCATGGCCTTGTTAGAAATCACAACCTTTTGGAATATCATAGCCTTTTGAAAGGCATAACCTTTTGAAAAAATGATGCCATAACTTTTTGGAAAATGGCATTCACCATAACCTTTTGGAAAATGGAATCTCCCCAAGAAGAATTAAAAACTCACTCGAGTCAACCTTCTCCTTAGTAGTAAATATCCACTAGTATTTATGCAAAGCAATTAGGTTTCTCAGCTGTTAAACTAATATACCTAGACATATCTTTGAATTGTTAGGGACTAAGATATGCTAATGCACAAAACACACACACACACACATATAGAGAGAGAGGAGAGTTTCAGAAGTATTCTTTTCAGTTGCCAAAAAAACACCTACTCTCCCTTAAAACATTTTGGTTTAAATCATGCTCTCAAGAGACCAAAAATAAGCAGACTTCTTTAAAAGTAACATATCTGATTGACTCACAAACTTCATGTATTCAGCATACAGGTACTTTGTATATCAATCCAATTACAGATAGGATTTGAAGTAGTTTTTCTGTGTAGGTAACACAGGTCATCTTTCTTGTAATCATAAGAGTCCATAGTCTAAAGTATCTCTCTGCTCTGAGAGTCTAATGGTGTCTGTACAGTCGTCTGTTTCAACTGACTTCTAAAAGCATATTGTTTCTACTGAAGTCTCTATGTTGAAAGTCTAATGACTTCTTCTTTTCTAAAATGGAGTCTGAGTCCTGAACAGTCCAGTCCCAGTTCTGATCACATGGTCTGCAGCCCCTCCCACAACAAAGAGTTAAGGAAAACTGCATACCAATATACACATAGAATACAGTAAGCAATTTCAATTATATACATAAAAAAGAACCAGTGTAGCAGACTTGAGAAGGTTGCTATTTCTAACACGTAAGAATTATTCACTTTTTCTTTTCAAAAGAAAATGGCAAATATTTTTAAAATGTTAAGAGAATGTAATTAGCTAAAGGCTGTTATAGAAGAAGAGCTGGAAGAGCTGATTTTATGAGACAATATTAAAAATATCAACCCTTTATATAAATGTACTGTCAGTCGCTGACTGTCACATTTGTTGTAACAAATGTTTTTACACAGTTCTAATAGCCAAGGGCATTTCCTCAAGATGTAGTTGAAATTGGAGACACAATAGAAGAAACCCTGGCAAGCATCACAATAATTCAACAACCTTAAACTTTGAGGACATAAAACACGTACTTTGCATGCAAAAGGTACCATGTTAAATGCCCTGGTTTTTTTTTTAAATAACCCAGGATGGATTAGCCTGGCAAAAAGCAGATAGGAAAGGAAAACTAAACATGTATTAGTATTAGATATTTTCTCAGCATATGTCTGTGAGACATTTCATTTAAAAAGATTCTGCTTATCTGACACATTGTCCAATAGAATCTAATTTTAACTCTTGGAAGAACAAGACATGTAATTTCTTCCAGCATTTCAGGGCTCCCAAATGTTCCTTCGTTTTTGAAATTCTCAACTGGTAGACCTACTCCTAGTTACTCAAAATGTACTTGACTTCTAAAAGTAGGACAGATGCTTTTTTTTAAGTGTTGCATGATAAGAGGCTTCAACTTGAATTATTTTTTGACATGTACAATGCTGTTTTATAGACATAAAATCTGAGGAAAGAGAGAAGGGTAGAATCAAAACTCATTTCCACCAGCTGTGCAAATACTCACATCTGCAGAGCACTGTTAGTTGCATTGATAAGGCCAAGGTCTTGGGTTTCCCCCAGAATCAACAAGGCACACTTTTCATGACCCTAGACAGAAAAGATTAAATGATTAAAAGGTATGTTTTATTTTGAAAATAGGTGCTTTTCTTAAGTTGCACTCCTCCATCTCACGAATTAGTTTTCTCCAAGTAGGATTGGGATGTTGAGCAACTAAGCTTGTGATGATGGGAACTGGCCATGGGAGGGAGGAACACATATCTTATCCTTGAAAAAAGCAGGGCTACACAAGAACACACATTTGACAAGGAATGCTTCTGTTTCTAATTGTATTATATTGTCTCCCTGTGGGGAAAACAGAGATTACATTTTCCTGAGCAGGAACAATTCAAAAACCTTTTGCTTGAGTGGAATAGACAGAGAGATACCAGCTGCCATTAACACCTTTGAAGTCTTCTGTATTCTACACACTTTCCAGTAGCTAAATTGGCTGTCTGGTCTTTTAAGTTAGCTGTCTGGTCTTTTAAATGATCCTCTACTTAGCTTTTGCCATTTGACACAAAGTGAGAGCCGTGTATGTTTAATCCTTATGTTAAAAAAAAAAAAAAACAGCTATGAACGAATTCTGTGCTCTGCAATACTAAGGAAAGACTAAAAAATCCCAAGTAAAAAATAGCAAGACCGAAAGGCTCATAAACCTAAAAGGTAAACCAAAAGGAAGTCAGCGGAAGCACCTCCTGCAGGTCCACCCATGGGCACTATACCTTACTGCAGGCCAGGTGAAGAGCTGTGTTCTTGTTGACATCCAGCACAGTTAGGTCAGCTTTTGCTCTGTACAGCAGAAACTCTGAAAATGAGTGGAGAAGCAAAGTAAGGGGCTGTAAAATCCACCATCTACTTTCTTTATTTTTAATCATTAAAATCCTGCCTTTTGTTATTGTTGGGAAGTTAAGGAAATAATCAAAATCAATACTTGGAAACAGTCCAGAATATCAGAAAAGAAAAAGCATCCCCTCTGTGCACATGCCTACACATACATGGGAAATAGGGTCCAAATTCATTCTTTTAAAAGAACACAGTTCAATGGAAGTTTTAGGATTCCAGCACCATAGCAGAACAGGTCCTACTTAGACTGGCAGGATTATGAAAATATTTTAGATCCTTTCCTTATGCTTTTATTAAGCGACTTTCTTCCAAGGACACAAGATGCCACTGCCTTCTCATAAGTCTTCTCTGTCTATATTTTAAAGTCAAAAACGCGTTCAAATGGGAGGAAACTTAGCCAGAAGATGGAATCATGGGAGTTTGTTTTACAATGTCTTTAGCCTCCTCTCCCAAAGAGTGGTGTTGTCTCACCAAACAAGTTCCATAGTACTGAGCCATGGCAGTTAAAAGTGGTGTCAAACTGCATTATTTCTAGAGTGTAGATGCATCCTAGGGTTTCAGTTTGGCTCCTTGGAAATGCCAGTATTATAAATCTTATACTTTCCTGGCCTTTGAACCGTGCAAGATCTTTCAAGACTGTTGCTCTACAGACCAGATCCCAAAAAAGAATAGGATGAGGAACAAGGAGAGAAGGCAGAAGATTCACTACACACCGACTGCTGCCGTCTGGCCATTCTCAGCAGCCATCATAAGAGCAGTCCTTCCCAGTTGGTCAGTTGCATCTACCTCAGCCTGGTGGCGCAAAAGCAGTTGTAAACCATGGATGTTGTCTGCAAAGGCAGCAGCGTGAAGGGGGGTCCTAAAATGACAAAAACAAAACTAAACAGACCTGGCCTGTTCCTAATTTAATCAGCCACAATGGTTGTGAATAACCATCTTTAGGGATGACTGCCTCTGTTTCAAAAGTGCAACTGCAAGAGAGCCTGACATTTTTCCTCAAGAAAATCCCATCAAAGAGATGTCAAAATTTCCCTTTTTAAAATTACAACCCGGTGTCAGTGGGATAGCTTAGTTCCACATTGCTCAAAAAATAATTTATTACCATCTTGGTCTGAAACTGTTGAGGCATGTGAAGCCTCTGAGGATGAGGATTTTTTTGGTGATTTTTTGAGTGATGGTCATTTCTTGGGTTAGTAGGTGTCTTGTGGCCAAATTTTGTGTCATTTCGTCCAGTGGTTTTTAAGTTATGTGCGTCCCACAAACAAACATTACAATATATATATATATAAATTGAATCATACACAATTTAACTATGAACACACTGATTAAGGAACTTTTGCTTGCCCTGAATCCACCATTTGTCTTTCCAAGCATTTAAGTTCTATTCTCCATCCTGCTAAGCAAGTGTCCATATAACTTCTTGAGGTGAATTTTCCTATTAAGCAATGGCCTGGGCAGAGACAGCTGATGGGTGCCTGGAGGGATGAGAACAGATCCCATGCCCATCAGAGGCAACCAAGAGGACAGTATCCTCACTCACCTTCCTTTGGCATCTCTGCTATTAACAATCTTGGCACCCAATGCTTCCACAAGCATTTCAGCAGTGCCATCCTGGTTGTTAATTCTGCAGAAGGAAGAAAGTGTGGGAAGCAACTGAGTTAGACTGGTTTTATTTTCACTTGCAGGGTATCAAAAAGAGAGGAGTATAGTGAATGAGACAAGTCATATAAAAAGTGTGTATGGCTCAGTAACAAAGTGCATGATCTACATGCAGAAGTCCCAAGTCTCCTCCAAATGCAAGCTCAATCTCCCCTCATCCCCAGCCAAATGGCCATCAAGAATGTGGAAAGCCTTCCCACAAACCTAAATACTAGTCAGAACAGTTAGAAAAGTCTTGAATTGTCTCAAGGTAAGGCCGCTTCTTATGTGGAATTTTGAGTTGAGAAGCAGCACTGCAACTTGGATGACAATTAAAAATAGTCAAATTTTGAAGCATCCAACATAATATCCCAGTAAATTACATCTTCCACAGAAATGCAAACATTCACTCTTGTTAATACAGATTTGTACACATGAACACCATATAACAATGGTTATGAGGGACTTACACTGCACAGTGCAATGGAGTAAAAGGGTTTCCTTCTAGGTATGCAAATGGATTGTGTTCAAGTAACAATTCAAGACAATCTTCATGCCCTAAAATGAGGGGAAAAAGGGAGGAGACATTATAGAATCATCTTCTGCCTCCATGAAAATGGTATAATCACAATCAAGAGATCCTTTAACACTATCAGAACACTTTTCAAATCTGCCACAGGAAAAAAACACACAATGGGAATGGTGCCTAAATCACCAAATCCTTACCACTGTAAGAAGCCCAGTGCATTGGTGAATAGCCACTATAGTCCACCACAGAGTCCAGAGGGTCAGTAGAGAGCGCTGCCTGCAGCAAGGTCCTCAGGATTTCGGAATGCCCACAGACCGAGGCAAAATGGATCGGGGTCCGGCCCTTGAAATCCCGACACAATACAAAGGCATCATGGTCCAGCAGTGCTGCAAGGCAGTCTTCACAGCCAGTCACAGCCTATGACCAAAGACAAGGAAGAAACAGTGGGAAAATGTATTAAACCCAAGTTCTGCGAAGTAACATGCCAAGCCCAGCACAACAGAAGGGATATTCACTTTTAGTAACACTTTAAGATCCACAAAAGAGATTCACGTAATAATTCACAATTCAAACTTACAGAAAAGATAGAAACAGTGGCTGTCAAATAAATCACACTTTCAAATATTGACTGGGGGGAGATGAGAAGATTCTCTCTTATTTACTAATAACCAATAAAGAACATTAAAGATAACAGTAAGTTCTGAGACTACCAAAATCAGAGATGTCTTTCTAAAGCCCTTTTCCCTTTCTGCTACTGGATTAATAATAATAATAATAATAATAATAATAATAATAATAATACCACCAGTAAAGGTGGTCCCAGTGGTGATCGTCACACTGGGTGCAGTGCCTAAAGACCTTGGCGTGCACTTAAACACAATCGGTGCTGGCAAAATTACCATCTGCCAGCTGCAGAAGCCCACCTTACTGGGATCTGCACGCATTATTCGTGGATACATCACACAGTCCTAGACACTTGGGAAGTGTCCGACGTGTGATCCAATTCAACAGCCAGCAGAGTGTCTGCTGTGGACTCATCTTGTTGTGTTTCATATAATAATAATAATAATCCTTTATTTGTAGACTGCACTTTCTCCCCGAAGGGACTCAGGGCAGTTCACACATACAAAAAGGCAAGCATTCAATGCCTCAGGTGGGTACAAACATATCAAAATAATACAGAATAAAGCAACAGTAATAACAGTGAGCTTATGACAAAGAATTAAGCATTGTGCTGAAAAATAAAACAATACAATCCAACAAGACATAGTTAACTAAAATGTAAGTAAACATAACAACAAATCCCTCAAAAACAATATAAAATGCACTTTAACTGGATTAACTGCTCTCGTGCACAAACTGCCTTGGAATAGATCGATCTAGAATGAGTGGCTCCTCAAGCATTCAAACACAATTCTGAAAGCTGATTGTTTGGAATCACTTGATCAGTGGGCAAGGCAAAAGAACTGGAATATACACTGATGGACCAACTACGTGTTCAGACTGACTGAAAATTTGGAATCCTTTAAGTACCCAATTTTTCTCTTGACAAAGGTAACTAAAAGACTACTTAGGACATATGTGACCACATTTGGATATATACCAGGATATATACCACATTTGGATATATACAGTCATGTGTGAACATAGTACATTCTCCCACTCACCCCCCGGTGCAGTGCAGTCCTGCCTCTCTTGTCTGCTGCATCTACTGTGGATCCCTTCTCCAGTAAGAGGTGGACACAATCTACATGGCCATTTGTGATTGCCAACATCAACGGGGTCCTGCAAAGAAAGCAAAGACAGCTCAGGCAACATACAACTAACAAAGGTGTCATTCAAACCACCCATTCCTATTTTAGAGAGCTTAAGAAGGGTAAGAGGAAGAGATAGCATCCTGATGATTCAATAAAGAGAAGAAAGAAGACTAGGACTGAATCTGGATTTAGAAAAAAATAGTGGTTTTATGACCAGGATAGGAGTGGCTATTCAAGTAGGAATGAGGTAACAGGCCTAGCTCTGTCTAGAATACCTCTTATAACTCAAAGAAAGGTAGAAACATAGATCTTTAGCTGCCATCATCACCCATAGGAGAGAAAGGAAAAGAATGGTGCATAGTTAATATGTGTCACGGTTTCATATAAAGCAGAGATATGAATCATGCAGCAATCCAGATGTTCTGGACTGCAACTCACAGCATTCCTAACCACTGGCTATGCTGTCTAGGTCTCATGGAACTCCAGTTCAACAGTATCTTCACGGTAGACCGACACCCAAACCTGATATGTAGAAGAACAAGTCTCTCTCAGAATCACAGAATCACAGAGTCTTTCACGGAACTACATCACAGATTAGCTTCCCCAGCCCAATGCTCCCAGCACCAAAATCCAAACTGTAAGGCCAAACTAGACCAGAACCACTAAATGAACTGCTGAAATGTAAGTAAATGCTTGTGAAAACCAACTGATTCAATGGGCCATCTCTATCTGGAACAAGCAAAAGTACTGTCACTTCTCCCATTGTCATGCTGGCTTGAGATGATGGGAGTTGCAATCCTATGAATGTGGAGAGCATCAGGTTATGGAAGGCTGTTACAATAGATAAGGAAAGGTATGCACTCTTTTTTAAAAGGGAAGATGTACTAAATAGGTGAAATCTCATAAGTATTCAGATGAACCAACATACTTTACTGTTTTTGCTAGGTTAAGAGGGTAGGGGCAAGGAGCTATAATTCCCATCTACCCACAAGCTGAAAATCTGCTCAGTCACCGCTTTCTAAGACTTCAGGAAAAACTATGCACATTCTCTCAAAAGTCTGTGTTTCTAATCATATGGATGAGGAAATCTGATCCTACTTTAAAGTTAAAGGAGAAATCTCAGGAAATTAACTTCAGGATGATTACATTATGTAGAGATGGGGCTTTGGTATGTGTGACCTTCTATGACTTCATGGGACATACTCAGCCCTGGTTGTAATTATTGATATTGTAATTAGGGATTCTTCCTCAAAAAACCGCAAATGAGTTGAACAGTTGGCTGATATCAGCCAGTAGAAACTCACTGTCCATGGAGGTCCATGACATCGGTGATGTCGACTCTCTCCCCACTGTCAATGAGAAGATGTAGGGAATCAGTGTTCCCATAGGCAGCTGAAACATAGTGAAGAAGAGAGAAGAAAGGGGGTGGAGAAAAGTTTAGGCACGGATTTCTCATCTAGTGGTTTCTCAAATAGTCCTTTATATCCTCGACATTTATTTTCAAGGTAAGGAAAGCAAGCATCCCCGAAAGAAAACATCACTCTCTCACCTGCAGCATGTAGGGGTGTCCACTTCTTCTTTTTCTCCTTCACCAGAGCAGATGCACCATGGCTGGTAAGTACCTCCACACACTCTGTGGAGCCCCTCTCCGTGGCAAGATACAAAGCCGTTCGCCCTTTGTGGTCCCGCACATCCAGGTTCACCAAGGTTTCAGCAAGTGTCTTCAGGGCTTCACAGTGACCGTTATAGGCCTGGAAGAAGCACCAACATTTAGTGCCTGTCTTGCCTTCTTTGGGCTCCAGTCCTAAACATGCTTACTTAAACGAGAAGCCCGCCATTTCAATCAATGTGCTCCTTATTATGGTGACCTACAATGAAGGTCACTTAATCTAGAAACTAAAACAGGAGACTGCAATCTAAAATGAATAACAGAAGATTCCACAAACTGGCTTTGCCTTACATTCTTGAATCTCCCCTAATCAAACATTAATACCACACTGAAAAAAAAATAGAACTAGGTTTATGACAGATATACTTACAGCTAAGTGCAAAGGGCTGACTGGAATGGTGCTTTCCACATCGTCCAGGCAGTTAAAAGACATTTCCAGGAGCTGTAATTAAGAGAAACAACCATAGAAATGCTTCAGCAATCCTAGGTTTCAGACCACTCACCAGCAAGAAATCTATATAGATTTTCTGTGTTGGAAAACAGTGTTTCATCGAATCACAAATGCATTACTGAAATATCAAGATCATGATAGTCTGGAAGATTACCGTAGCAATTATCTCAGTCATAACCTAGTGCTCACATGGAATACTAAATTCTTGATTGGAAGATGGTTTAAGAAAGCGGACTTTCTATAATCAGACTTCTAAGGACTTGTTTAGCCACTAACTTTTGGATAATCGCATTGGAACATGAGCATACCACGTCTTATCAGAACATTTAGTAACATGCTAGGAGCACAAAGTACTGCACAAGGGAAAAAGTATGTTCTACTAAGTTGAAGAAGAAAAGAAATACAGGTTTAAGGTGGATTTTCATCCTTTCAAAAACCTATAGATCCTTTCTGTTAGGGAAAACTCCCAAAACAAAGCAGAGCATCCAAAAAGACAAAGCAGGATACTTCTAGTTGAGCATCGGCTCACAGCAAGCAGAGTGTTAAGTGTTGTGGCTGGGAAAGAATTTAGCGCTTAGGCGGCAACCATGCAGAGTTCTGTCTTTACTATTTACAAAAATAGTAACTACATTTCTTAATAGTAAATAACTGGGTCCAAGCTATTCTATAACCCCATCTCTTTACAGTTCAAAAGAGAGGGCGAAATATCCAAACACTACATCTCTCCTGGCACACAAATAGAGAGAGGTCTCAATACACACCGCATACACAAAGATGTAAAAGTAGAAAGTCAGAAGTGAAAGGCATGCACCTGCAAAGTATCCTTTCTACAAAACCAATTAGAATGAGAGCAGAAATAGATACATTCCAACTGTCATTCAGGAGTCAGGGGGAAGGGATTTCCCTCAGCCTTTTCTAAGCTATTAACTACACCTCATTGAGGACTGCAGACTTGGGCAGTGTGGGATTGAATTCCAACACTTTCACTGGTCAGTCTCACTTCTAAACCATGACTCAGCGATTCCACAATCAATTCAAGCTTACCAACTCAAGGTTCTGTCTGTTGCCATAGGCAGCTGCGTAGTGGACAGCGGTGTATCCCTGCTTGTCCCGGAGAGATGGGTCAGCACCATTATCCAACAAGAACTCTAAACAACTGGAAGGCATAAGATCGGATTAGGGAGGAATTCAATGTATGCAAGAAACCTAAATTATTTTGTACAAATTCAGTCTGGTTATAAAAATGCCCCACAAACATTAATTAGTGAATAAAGAAAGAAACCCTGGTGCAGCCACCATTCCATCACAAAAACATACTCCTTGACAGAGTAGGAATTGCTGAACTCCAAGGCTGACTCATAATAAAACATTATTTTCTACCCAAAGTTGAGACTATATCTGGGAAAAGAGAGACTCTTGTTTTCTACTTGCACCAACCATGTAAATCAGTGAAAGGATGACACACATAAGAGGTTTATTTAATTCCCCACTCCATGTCTGGACAAAAGGTGGGCCGAATGATTGAAGGCAATCATTGAACAGCGGGTGCTATTCAAGCACAAATCAGACAGAAAAACATTCTTAAAGGAGATTCAATACCATGTTAAAGGTACTAAAAACCAATTGTGTTGTGATGTCTAACCTGCCATTAGCTGATAAAAAGAACAGTGTGTTTATATGAAACAGCTGAGCCCCTGAAGAGAGAGGCCAAGGAGGATTGAGATGAGCTGCTACTCACAAGATTGCCTCCTTCAGTCGTGACTCCTTCAGTGGCTCCTCATCAGTGTCATGGCTGTTTCCTGAATGAGTCTCAGCTCTGCAAGAGCAGAAACCATAAATCAGTTTTGCCAAGACGCGGCAGAAGAAATGTTAAAGGCATAGAATATATCAAAATACATACTTTCCAAAGTCATCTTACACTAGGAAATCAAATACATTTCCATAGACATTAAGAGCATTTCCTTAACTCAAACATGTATCACAATGCAAATTAAACATCCGCATTTTATTTTAGGGGGAAGGTTTCTAGTCCTCAGAAACAGAAGGAAACTGAAGTCAAAGGAAACTCAAACTGATTGTAATGTACAGATCTGTTACGTAATTTTGGCTTGATTTGTGATTTCTAAACTTGTTAGTAGTGCTATAAACCTTATTACTTCGGAATATCTCAGAACACAAGATATATTGTTAAGCAAGAACATGTAAATCATTGTTTTGAATTTATAGAATTCCCAATGAGAATTTAAGTGCCGAACTGATTCTCTGTCCTTAGATTTAGATGTCAGAAACCCAGTGAGACAGAGAGAGGGAATGAAAATGAGAATGAATTTTGACTGTAGTATTTATGGGGAGAAAACAAACCCTTGACTGATGCCATGCCAGGCAAATCCTAAAGACCTTTCTCCTACCTCCTGTAAGTATCTGAAGCAGCAGCATAATGTAAGGGGGTGCAGCCTTTACAGTCAGCTTCATTAATACTGGCTCCGGCAGTGACTAGAGTCACCGTACACTGATAGCTGCCATTTGCGGCTGCGTAGTGCAAAGGAGTCCTGGTGGGAAAAAGAAGAAAAGGAGGCATGAGGGATTGCAGCTTACTGAGAACAACTCCACAAGAAGAGATTACAGCCCCACATCACAAACTTATCTAACCAAAATAGCCAAAGCAGGGTTAAAGAAAGGAAGTCATCCCATGAAAGACAATTTGTGAACAGGCGGAAGGAATGTCAGTGTGCAAAGGGATCTTGCAGTACCTTAGAGACTGACAGAATGAAGTTGGTAGCATACATTTTCATAGATTTTTGTAGTTTACAAAGGCTTATGCTACCAACTTCATTCTTTCACTTAGTCTCAAAGGTGCCATAATATCTCTTTGCCCACTAATATTCCAGACTAACAGGGCTTTGCTTTTGAAGCGTGCTAGGCTGAAGGAATGAAACTCAGAATAATATTTGTTGTTTATAAAGCAATGTAACAAAAAGTACATTGAGTTCTTATGTAGTTCAGCAATAAGGAAAAGAACAATGTATAAGTAATTTCCTTCTTAACTGCATAGCTCCAGAAGGAACAGCACCTGTGTTTAATGAAGCAAAAACATATATTTAACTTTATAAACGTAATTTTGAATCACAATCCTAATATGAACACAAAGAGCTTCAGATTTGGATAATATTAATTACGAATTACAATTCTCCTCCATGCTCATAGAAAAAGACAGCACCGTGTTCCAAATTTACCTTCCAAACTTATCTCTCCTCCTCAAGTCAGCTCCACTGCTCAACAGCAAGTTAAGACATTCAACATTCCTAGACAAAAACAAAGGAAGCAGAGAATACACTTGAACAATGCCATGGAAGAAACCAAAAACATCAGATCTGTTTGAAAGCCAAGACTTTTTTTATTTACAGATATCATCAAAACAAAACAGCTGCTAAGAAAGCCAGCAGTATCTTTGAGACAAACTGAGAAAAATAGTTTTTTGTGTAAGCTTATGTGGATATTTCTGATGCATCGGAGGAAGTGGACTGGAGTCCACAAACACTTAAGTTCGAAATTTATTTTTCCCAGTTGATCTCAAAGGTCCTACTGGATTTTCATTATGGCCCCTGCTACACTGCCACAGAATCCAGATTATCAAAGCAGAATCCATATTATCTGCTATAAACTGGATTATATGTGTCTTCAGCAAAGGATCACCACCTTGTCGGGGCGCTGGAGCTTGAGCACCTCAATGATGTCATGAGCGAAACCGTGAAGGGCCACCCAAGACGGGACGGTCGTGGCAGAGAGGTCAGACCAAGCGTGATCCCTGGGGAAGGCAATGGCAAACCACTCCAGTATCCTTGCCAAGAAAACTAAATGGACCAGTACAACCAGAGATATGTCGGTATGCCATTGGAAGATGGGACTCCCAGGTTGGAAGATGGCCAAAATGCTACTGGGGAGGAGCAGAGGATAAGTTCAACTAGCCCCAGATGTGATGACGCAGCTAGCTCAAAGCCGAAAGGAAGGCTAGCGGCCGACGGTACTGGAGGTGAACGACGAATCCGATGCTCTAAAGATCAACACACCATAGGAACCTGGAATGTAAGATCTATGAGCCAGGGCAAATTGGATGTTGTTATTGGCGAGATGTCAAGACTAAAGATAGACATTCTGGGGGTCAGCGAACTGAAGTGGACTGGAATGGGCCACTTCACATCAGATGACCACCAGATCTACTACTGCGGACAAGAGGAACATCGAAGAAATGGAGTAGCCTTCATAATTAATAAGAAATTCGCTAAAGCGGTGCTTGGATACAATCCAAAAAATGACAGAATGATCTCAATTCGAGTGCAAGGAAAGCCTTTCAACATTACAGTGATCCAAATATACCCCAACCACAGCTGCTGAAGAAGCAGAAGTAGATCAGTTCTATGAGGATCTGCAGGACCTACTGGATAATACACCAAAAAGAGACATTATTTTCATTACAGGAGACTGGAATGCCAAGGTGGGAAGTCAAATGACAACTGGGATAACAGGCAAGCATGGTCTGGGAGAACAAAATGAAGCGGGACGCAGGCTGATAGAATTTTGCCAGGAAAACTCGCTGTGTATAACGAATACTCTCTTCCAACAACCTAAAAGACGGCTTTATACATGGACCTCACCAGATGGTCAACACCGAAATCAGATTGACTACATCCTTTGCAGCCAAAGGTGGCGGACATCCATCCAGTCGGTGAAAACAAGACCTGGGGCTGACTGTAGCTCAGATCACGAACTTCTTATTGCTCAATTTAGAATAAAACTAAAGAGATCAGGGAAAATACACAGACCAGTTAGATATGACCTCACTAACATCCCTAGCGAATATACAGTGGAAGTGAAGAACAGATTTGAAGGACTAGATTTAGTAAACAGAGTCCCAGAAGAACTATGGACAGAAGTCCGCGACATTGTTCAGGAGGCGGCAACAAAGTACGTCCAAAAGAAAAAGAAAACCAAGAAGGCAAAATGGTTGTCTGCTGAGACACTGGAAGTAGCCCAAGAAAGGAGGAAAGCAAAAGGAAACAGGGCTAAGGGGAGATATGCCCAGTTAAATGCGCAATTCCAGAGGTTAGCCAGAAGAATAAGGAACTATTTTTAAATAAGCAATGCATGGAAGTGGAAGAAGACAACAGAATAGGAAGGACAAGAGACCTCTTCCAGAAAATTAGAAACATTGGAGGTAAATTTCAGGCAAAAATTGGTATGATAAGAAACAAAGATGGCAGGGACCTAACAGAAGCTGAAGAGATCAAGAGAAGGTGGCGAGACTATACAGAAGATCTGTATAGGAAGGATTATAATATTGAGGATAGTTTTGACGGTGTGGTGAATGAATTAGAACCAGACATCTGAGGAGTGAGGTTGAATGGGCCTTAAGAAGCATTGCTAACAACAAGGCAGCAGGAGACGACGGGATCCCAGCTGAACTGTTTAAAATCTTAAAAGATGATGCTGTCAAGGTGATGCATGCATATGCCAGCAAATATGGAAAACACAAGAATGGCCATCAGACTGGAAAAAATCAACTTATATTCCCATACCAAAAAAGGGAAATGCGAAAGACTGCTCCAACTTCCGTACAGTGGCCCTTATTTCTCATGCCAGTAAGGTAATGCTCAAGATCCTGCAAGGAAGACTCCAGCAATACATGGAGCGAGAGTTGCCAGATGTTCAAGCTGGGTTTAGAAAAGGCAGAGGAACGAGAGACCAGATTTCCAATATCCGCTGGATAATGGAGAAAGGCAGGGAGTTTCAGAAAAACATCTACTTCTGCTTCATTGACTATTCTAAAGCCTTTGACTGTGTGGATCATAATAAATTGTGGCAAGTTCTTAGTGGGATGGGCATCCCAAGCCACCTTGTTTCTCTCCTGAGGAATCTGTACAAGGACCAAGTAGCAACAGTCAGAACTGACCACGGAACAACAGACTGGTTCAAGATTGGGAAAGGCGTACGGCAAGGCTGCATCCTCTCACCCAACCTTTTTAACTTGTATGCAGAACACATCATGCGATGTGCGGGGCTTGATGAATGCAAAGCTGGGGTGAAAATTGCTGGAAGAAACATTAACAACCTCAGATATGCAGATGACACCACTCTGATGGCCGAAAGCGAGGAGGAGCTGAGGAGCCTTCTAATCAAGGTGAAAGAAGAAAGCAAAAAAACCGGGTTGCAGCTAAACAACGTCAAAAAAATTTCTGGCAACAAGACTGATTGATAACGGGCAAACAAAGGGAGAAAACATGGAGACAGTAACAGACTTTGTATTTCTGAGGTGCAAAGATTATTGCAGACTCAGACTGTAGCCAGAAATCAGAAGACGTTTACTTCTTGGGAGGAGAGCAATGACCAATCTCAATAAAACTGTGAAGAGTAAAGACATCACATTGGCAACAAAGATCCACATAGTAAAAGCAATGGTATTCTCCGCAGTAACCTATAGATGTGAGAGCAAAACCATAAGGAAGGCTGAGCGAAAGAAGAGAGACGCTTTTGAATTGTGGTGTTGGAGGAAACTTCTGAGAGTGCCTTGAACTGCGAGAAGATCCATCCAGACCATACTTCAGGAAATAAAGCCCGACTGCTCATTGGAGGGAAGGATAGTAGAGGCCAAGATGAAGTCCTTGGCCACATCATGAGAAGACAGGAAAGCCTAGAGAAGACAATTATGCTGGGGAAAGTGGAAGGCAAAAGGAAGAGGGGCAGACCAAGGGCAAGATGGATGGATGGCATCCTTGAAGTGACTGGACTGACCTTGAGGGAGCTGGGGGTGGTAACGGCCGACAGGGAGCTCTGGCGTGGGCTGGTCCATGAGGTCACGAAGAGTCGGAGACGACTGAACGAATGAACAACAACATCTACACTGCCATATAATCCAGTTCAAAGCAGATAATCTGGATTTTATATGGTCTATCTCTTATTATCCTAGACTAACAAGATAGACTAACAAGGCTATTTCTTTGAATACTCAAAACAACACTACGATTGAACTCCAAGAAACAGATACCTTCTTAATCAGTAAGGATCGCCTCTAAATGAGCCAACAGGGTACAGCAGTTTGATTGTTGGACTAGGACACTGAGAGACCAGAGTTTGATTCTCTGCTTGGCCACAAAACTCTGCTGGGTGACCTTGGGCAAGTCACACCCTCTCAGCCTCAGAGGAAGGCCGGGGAAACCCACTCTGAATAAATTCTGCTAAGGAAACCTTGTAATAGGTTTGCTTTAGGATTGGCATATCAAAACTGATCTGCAAACACACAACAATGACTGAAGAGAAATGCCTAACCTCTAACCTTTCCTTCTTTACTTACCTAAAGGCAGCAGTTCAATCCTGAGCAATACCTTGTAAAATAACATTCTGGACTTATTACTCACCCTCCGGAAGCAGCAGCATGGAGGCAGGTCCTCCCGAGGTTATCTGGCGTATTGATATCAAAGCCTGCAGACAGCACATGCTCATTGCTGAGTGAGGAGACAATGCTGTACAACTGACCTATAAATCAGGAGACAACAAAATAAGGAGGGAATAGTCAGGCATCCCAACATACTAGGATCCTGCCCATAGACCCCATGAGAAATCCGATTCTAGTAGCACAATTTGACTTCCTGAGAATCTCATTAAGCACTTAAGCAAAAATGATTGCTCTGGATGAAGGAATTTGGGAACATGAAAGGGCTGATTTGTTATGAATCCATCTCACATCAAACAACTGATCTGACCAGGAGAGGCAAATTACAGTGTACCCCTGACTTACCTGAGGAAAGTAGCTTACGACAACAGTCTGAGAATCCAAAGAGAACAGCTAAGTGCAAGGGGAACATGTCATGGATCCCACGCCTGGAAGGACAGAAGAACAGAAACATTGTAATGTTGTCCCCAAATACAGAGAACACACCAAAGTACTAAACACAGCAAGGAACAAGTGGAAAACAGGTTTCCTACCCCAGCTAGCCCAATGGCTCCCATTTATGTCACCTCATGCGAACTGTATCAGTTCCAACCAACTATAAGCCCACACAGTTTATCTTCATTATGTAATTAAGGTCAGTGTACATTCCATTAAAAAAAAACCTAAAAGCTCAATGCTTCCACTTTTCATCCCAACTGCAGTGTCAGAGGAGTTGGAAGTGTGGTATGTGTCAACTTAAACAGACAATTTTTATCATATCGATCAAAAGGTGCCACTAAAAGAGAAATGTCCTCACCTTGCAGTATCAGCACCATTCGTCATCAAAGTACTAATTAGCAGCTCGTGGCCGTATCTAGCAGCAACATGGAGGGGGGTATTGCCATATTTGTCAGCGCAGTCAATCTCACTGCCTATTTAAAAAAACACAACTCAGTTTTTACCTGGCTTACCATTTACTTCAGGATGACCAGAAGCAACAGGAAACTGTGGCTCAGCAGGAAGGAGTGTGGCAGGTACTAAGCTATGAATGATTTTCAGTCCTTCTGCCTCTGTTAGTAATTTCTTTAGTAACTTCATTTATATTTGTGCTTAGCCTTCAGAAAACGAGAAGCATACAGCAGGTCAACTGATACTTCTGAATTCAAGTAATAACACTATGAAACAGAATTCAGAAATCCAAAAGGTTAAATCTGGTCTTTACTGAAGCATCTAACTGTTCTGTCCAAATTAAATATATATATATTCACAAAAAATGGGGATTTGTTTTCAACTGGAAATAGAAGAAGACATCATTAGTAAAGATAAAGGTTTCCCCTGACATTAAGTCTAGTCATGTCCTATTCTAGGGGCTGGTAGTCATCTCCATTTCTAAGCTGAAGAGCCAGCACTGTCTGTAGACACCTCCAAGGACATGTGGCCAGCATGACTACCTGGAGTGCCGCTACCTTGGGAAGTCTGACTTGGCCACGGTAGTCCACGCTCTGGTTACATCCCGTTAGACTACTGCAACGCTCTCTACGTGGGGTTGCCTTTGAAGACTGCTCGGAAGCTTCAATTGGTTCAACGTTCGGCAGCCATGATACTAACAGGAGCGGCACTCAGGGAGCATACAACTCCTCTGTTGCGCCAGCTCCACTGGCTACCAATTTGCTACCGGGCACAATTCAAAGTGCTGGCGTTGGCCTATAAAGCCCTAAACGGTTCTGGCCCAAGTTACCTATCCGAACGTATCTCCGCCTATGAACCCACCAGGACTTTAAGATCTTCTGGGGAGGCCCTGCTCTCGATCCCACCTGCATCACAGGCACGTTTGGCGGGGACGAGGGACAGGGCCTTCCCAGTGGTGGCCCCTCGGCTGTGGAACGCCCTTCCCATGGACATTAGATCAGCCCCCTCGTTAGTGGTGTTTCGAAGAAAACTGAAAACCTGGTTATTTGAACAGGCGTTCGGATAAGCAGTGCAATGAATATAATGAATATAGGGAACATAGGAATGGAACAATGGACGACGAACCTGGACTACTCTTGGATGATGAGAAGATTGGGTACGGTTGTTTGTTTTTCGTAATAATTGTGCATTGTAATTGCTTATTGGTAATTTATGGATAATGTGTTAAGTCAATTGTTATATGTTGTATGGAACCACTGCTGTTTCTACTGTTTTTACTGTTTGTGAACCGCCGGGAGTCGCCTTCGGGCTTGAGATACAGCGGTATATAAGCAAAGTAAATAAATAATAAATAAATTCCTTCCCACAGAAGCAGTACCTATTGATCTACTCACATTTGCATGTTTTTGAACTGCTAGGTTGGGAGAAGCTGGGCCTAACAGCAGGAGCTCACCCCGCTCCCCGGATTTAAACCACCAACCTTTCGGTCAGCAAGTTCAGCAGCTCAATGGTTAAACCCACTGCACCACCAGGGGGCCATTAGCTTAACATAAAAGATTTAACAGGTACAAACAGATTAAAATACATGTATCAGAATTATTTAAATGTTAAAGAATCACTGCAAGAAAAAAAAGCAAAGGAACAACATAAAACACTGAATTTGAGCAATTTGACCACTTACCATTCTGTATGAGAATCTGGGAGCGTGTAAACCGTCCATGAATGGCAGCCATGTGCAAAGGACTCTTCCCTTCTTTGCTCTGCGAACATTAAAACATGTTAGCAAAGGGTTCTATCCTGCTTCCTAAAATACAAAACAGACTTTAATCCTATGAAAATAGTAGAAGTAGTCTTCATTTCCCATACTGGGTGAAACCAACTTAATACCTGGAAGTTCACGTCCGCTCCGTTATTGACGAGAAGTTCCAGGCACAGGGCTCCGTTGGTGGAGACGGCAGCAAAGTGCAGGGGGGTGAAGCCCTTCTCATTGGGCTGATTGACATTGGCGCCATAGTTGACCAGTTCATTGGCCACGGCATCCTGGCCCATGTAACAGGCAATGTGAAGTGCAGTGTTGCCAAAGGAATTTGGTTCATCGATCTAGAAAAACAAGCAAATGAAGAGAGCGCTTGAATACACTGTACTTAATACTGAACAGAGACTTTGGTGAGAATAAGAAGCAGCAACTCCAAGGGCTTTGGCTGCCTGTGACCACAGATGTTTTAACTACTGCTCAACTTCAATTTCAATTTACATTCAAGTCTCTCCTCTCTCTAATAAATGCTAGCATTTACCTATTTTATTTAGCAAATCCTAGCAAGGCAGCCACTAAAAAATAACTACCATATTTTCTGGCGTATAAGACTACTTTTTAACACAAGAAAATCTTCTCAAAAGTCAGGGGTCGTCTTATACACTGGGAGTCATCTTATAGAGCGGGTGCTGAAACTTCCAATCTGGATTGGAGCATTTGTGGTTGCCGCATAAGGTGTGGGGAGCTCAAAGATGGCAGTGGCTGTGTCCCTGCTGTATGCAGTGACTGTATGAAAGCATTAAGAGTGATGCTGTACAAGTACGGTAGAAGAAAATCCATTCATCAGGATTCATGGGCTTATTGCAGTCCTGATGGTGAGGTGAAGGGGCGCCTCACTGGGAAAGTGTAAGTGAAGGGCAGAGCAAGCTGCAGGTGTCCGGGGCGCCCGGGGTATGGTAAAAAGAGATAGAGTGGCTCTGGGCCCAGAAAAACACAACTCTTTTACTTGTCTGGCCCACCCTTGCATCCTATTACTGTACCTCCTCCTCTGCCTCTCAGATCTCACTCCTGAAGACTGCAGTGAAGTGGTGCAGGTGCACATGTGCGAGATCTGAGAGGCAGAGAAGGAGGTACAGTCATAGGAAAATTACCATATTGAAATCAAATCTGATGCTTTTTAAATTTTTATTTGGTGTGCTTTGGAAGAGGGGTAGTCTTATACGGCGAGTACATCCCAAACGCTATATTTTAACTGGAAAAGTTGGGGGTCATCTTATACGCCCAGTCATCTTATATGCCGGAAAATACGGTATATACAAAATAACATAAATGTTGAAACAACAGCAGCCAACACAAAGCCAACTTTCCTGGTTTGGTAGAATCTGCAAGGAAAGGTCTCCAATAAAACAAAATTCAAAATCAACAAACAAGTCTTTGAAGGGTTGAGGAAGCTCTGCTTCTTATGATGTTCCTTGTCTGCCAATATCCCTCAATACTGGTGGTGTTGCTTGACATGGGTTATAGATAGAAAAAGTGAGAAAAAAGGCCTGGATTTAAGGCTCAATTTATGTAATTTCCCATTGTTCGTGTATGCTTCTTTCTCTCTTAGTTATTGTATCCTCGATTGCTAGAATTTAGATGTAAAAATTGTTGGGGTACAGACATGCCTTTAAAGAAGGCCAAAAAACTTAAAAGCATCCCTGCATGATCAGATTATGAGCCTGTAAGAGTGTGAGTGATGTCAGGGGCACCACACCTTTAACTACATAGAGAGATTTGCAAATCAAGGCTGGAAACATGTTGATGGCTTGCAGCTGTGTGATCAGGAGGGAGGTAGAAAAGGAGGGATCATGGGGAAACTGGGGGAGGAAGAAAGGAAAAGTTTGTACACCTTTACTCTGATGGGGCTGTAATAACAGAACAAGCTTGACTACATGGTTTATGGACTATTTAACTGGGTTTTGCTGACCCACACGGCAAAAAGAGATGGTGTCAACATGGAAGTCACAACTTTCGCCACTCTTCTCTCAAGAGAAGTGGAGTATGCTGTAACAGGGCCCATTTGCAAAGTGGCCATCAAGGCCACCAGGAAAGCCAAAGATGTATGATGCCAACAAGCTTTTCTTATTGTTTGTTCACAGGACCTGGCATAAGAGACAAGCTGCTCAAATGCTGTTGTTTCATTTTTGGCTATTACAGCCAACAGCTCAAAGACCTATCCTACTCAATAGATCTGCTACATCCTCTTTTTGAATCCTCCTAAGGGTAACTCTTAAGTGTTTTGTATAACAAACTCCATTGGCATATGAGCCTCCCAGCCCCAAAGGGAATCCACCGCCCTGGTCCCGGGGCCGCTGGTAGGCCTTGAAGCCACCTCAATGATGTCCCCCACCCCATGAGCCGAAAACCCGTTAAAAAAGGGACCACCCCAAAGAAAACGGACGGTTTTTTTTTGTGGGGGCAAGAGAAGTCATACCAGGAAGCGTGGAATTCCCCTGGGGAATGCCAAATGCAAAACCCAACTCCCATAAATTCCTTTGGGCCCAGAAAACCTAAATGGACCCCAAGTAAACAACCAGAAAGATATGTCCCCGATTTAATGCCATTTTGGGAATAATGGGGAAACCTCCCCATGTCCGGAAGAATGGCCAAAATGGCCCCTACTGGGGAAGGAGCCGGATTAAATAAAGTTTGTTCCAGCTAAGCCCCCAGAATGTGGGAAATGACCCGGCACCCTAGCTTTTCAAAAAGGCCGAAAGGAAGGGCTAGCGGCCCGCGGTAAACCTGGAGGTGAAACCGAGCGAATCCGATGCTCTAAAAGATCAAAACCCAACCCCATAGGAAACCCTGGGAAAATGGGTAAATAAATCCTATTGAAAGCCAGGGCCAAAAAAATTTGGGGATGTTTTTGTTTAATTGGCGGATGCAAGGAACTAAAAATGATAGGCATTCTTGGGGGTCCCAAGCGAACCTTGAAAAGTGAACTGGAAAAATTTGTCCAACTTTCCAAATCCAATGAGACCCCACCAATCTACTAAACTCCGACCAGAGGAACCATCGAAGAAATTGGAGTAGCCACTTCATAAGTTAATTTTTTAAAAATAAGAAAGGCCCAGAAACATGTCTTTTCATATTGATAGCCAAAAAATGACAGAAAAATGAAAAAAAGTAGCAAGTAAGGAACAAAGCTATCCATTCCTGTGGATCCAAAATTACGCCCAAACCACCAAGCTGCCTTGAAGAAAGCCAAGTAAGTAGAATCATTTTCTAACTTTATCTGACTATTCCTTTGAATCATTATAGCACAATACAATAATGTTTTCCATTTTACAGGAGAGTAAGAACAAGAATTAGTTCTTCTGTCTATCATTTTATACATATATGAGAAACCACAGCAAAGCCATGGTCTGGGAGACACAATGAAAAAGCGGGAAACGCAAGGCTGAAAAAGAATTTTTTTTGCCAGGGAAAACTCCGCGTGTTTTAAGATAACGAAACTCCTTTCCTCCCCCAACAACACCTAAAAGCCGGCCTTTTTTTTACACATGGAACCTCAACCAGAATTGGGTCCCAAACCACCGAAATCCCAGATTTTTGACCTACAATACCTTTTTTTTGGCAGCCAAAAGGGGTGGGCGTGACATCCATCCAGTTCCCGGTGAACTAACCAGACCTGGGGCTTGACTGTAAAAAGCTCCAGATCAACGAAACTTCTTTTATTGGCCCAATTTTTAAGATAAACAACTAAAGAAAAATCCAGGTGCAAAATACACAACCAGTAGATATGATCCTTCACTTAACCATTCCAGCGAATATACAGTGGAAGTGAAGAACAGATTTGAAGGACTAGATTTAGTAAACAGAGTCCCAGAAGAACTATGGACAGAAGTCCGAGACATTGTTCAGGAGGCGGCAACAAAGTACGTCCCAAAGAAAAAGAAAACCAAGAAGGCAAAATGGTTGTCTCCTGAGACACTGGAAGTAGCCCAAGAAAGGAGGAAAGCAAAAGGAAACAGTGAAAAGGGGAGATATGCCCAGTTAAATGCGCAATTCCAGAGGTTAGCCAGAAAAAATAAAGATCTATTTTTAAACAAGTAATGCATGGAAGTGGAGGAAGACAACAGAATAGGAAGAACAAGAGACATCTTCCAGAAAATTAGAAACATTGGAGATAAATTTCAGGCAAAAATTGCATGATAAGAAACAAAGATGGCAGGGGCCTAACAGAAGCTGAAGAGATCAAGAGAAGGTGGCGAGACTATACAGAAGATCTGTATAGGAAGGATAATAATATCGAGGATAGTTTTGACGGTGTGGTGAATGAATTAGAACCAGACATCCTGAGGAGTGAGGTTGAATGGGCCTTAAGAAGCATTGCTAACAACAAGGCAGCAGGAGATGACGGGATCCCAGCTGAACTGTTTAAAATCTTTAAAAGATGTATGCTGTCAGGTTGATGCCATGCCATTTGGCCAGCAAATATGGGAAAACGCCACAGACATGGCCATCAGAACTGGAAAAAATTCATATTATAATATACAATTATAATATAATATAATAATAATATAGTAATATAATATAAGTAAGGTAATGCTCAATGCCAGTAAGGTAATGCTCAAGATCCTGCAAGGAAGACTCCAGCAATACATGGAGCGAGAGTTGCCAGATGTTCAAGCTGGGTTTAGAAAAGGTAGAGGAACGAGAGACCAAATTGCCAATATCCGCTGGATAATGGAGAAAGGCAGGGAGTTTCAGAAAAACATCTACTTCTGCTTCATTGACTATTCTAAAGCCTTTGACTGTGTGGATCATAATAAATTGTGGCAAGTTCTTAGTGGGATGGGCATCCCAAGCCACCTTGTCTCTCTCCTGAGGAATCTGTACAAGGACCAAGTAGCAACAGTAAGAACTGACCATGGAACAACAGAGTGGTTCAAGATTGGGAAAGGCGTAAGGCAAGGCTGCATCCTCTCACCCAACCTTTTTAACTTGTATGCAGAACACATCATGCGATGTGCGGGGCTGGATGAATGCAAAGCTGGGGTGAAAATTGCTGGAAGAAACATTAACAACCTCAGATATGCAGATGATACCACTTGGCCGAAAGCGAGGAGGGGCTGAAGAGCCTTCACCATCAAGGTGAAAGAAGAAAGCACAAAAGCTGGGTTGCAACTAAACAAAAAAAAAAAACCAAGATTATGGTAACCGGACTGATTGATAACTGGCAAATAGAGGGAGAAAACGTGGAGGCGGTGACAGACCTTGTATTTCTAGGGGCAAAGATTATTGCAGATTCAGACTGCAGCCAGGAAATCAGGAGACACTTACTTCTTGGGAGGAGAGCAATGTCCCATCTCGATAAAATAGTGAAGAGTAGAGACATCAGACTGGCAACAAAGATCCGCCTAGTCAAAGCCATGGTATTCCCTGTAGTAACCTACGGATGTGAGAGCTGGACCTTAGGGAAGGCTGAGCGAAGGAAGATCGATGCTTTTGAGCTGTGGTGTTGGAGGAAAGTTCTGAGAGTGCCTTGGACTGCGAGAAGATCCAACCAGTCCCTCCTCCAGGAAATAAAGCCCGACTGCTCATTGGAGGGAAGGATACTAGAGACAAAGTTGAAGTACTTTGGCCACATCATGAGGAGACAGCAAAGCCTAGAGAAGACCATTATGCTGGGGAAAGTGGAAGGTAAAAGGAAGAGGGGCCGACCAAGGGCAAGATGGATGGATGGCATCCTTGAAGTGACTGGACTGACCTTGAAGGATCTGGGGGTGGTGACGGCCGACAGGGAGCTCTGGCGTGGGCTGGTCCATGAGGTCACGAAGAGTCGGAGACGACTGAACGAATGAACTTCAACATGCATATGAGAACCAGACTGGTTCAATATGCTGCTGAAGGACACAATAAATTGGAGTCCCAACCTTGGACATCTGGGATTTGTCTCATCTGCATAGCTTAGTACTGAGGACAGCTAACACATGGCTATTCAAAAGTAAGAACAACTGAGTTAAATGATACAGACTCCAAGGTCTGCAGTTTCAACTCCTCAGGGCAGAAAAATAGTAACTGTCACATTGGCCCTTATGACATCTACTAGATGATGCCAAGGTAGCTTCCAATAGCTCTGCTGTTCATGATTTTTCCTCAGTTTTCATTTTAAGACTGAGTATATGTATATAATAAGCATATATGTGTGTTCACATACATTCATACACACACATCCTTTGGAGGATACATTTAACACTTTATGCCTCCATTTGGAAACAGATACCTTCTAATCTACAGGATTTCCTTCTGAACAGACATGTGCAAAAAGGAACAAATGGTTTTCAGGAGTAACATTCTTCATCACAGAATCTGTGATGGGTGGGAGATTTAGCCTGATAGTATCTATAAGCACATACATTTCCCAGTCCCATGGCACAGGATTTCACTATAACAGCTCTTTGCTTAGAGCTGGCATTTCTTCCAAGCATTTATAAACTGTACCCAAGTCAATATATATTACTAGTTTCTAGTGCAAGCCAATCATGACCTATTTGGTGAAACAGAACACTGCATTGAGTCCATACATATCTGGTGTATTATTTTGAGTCCTCTAACATGCAATCCAATGATTTTATCCACAATTGAAGGAGATGGATCGTAATTAATGTGTAAACAGAGAACTGGAGCTGAACGCCAGGAAAATAAATGTGGGCCCTAGGAGACTGGGATGTCTATGTTCTGAAGATCAAGGTGCCTAAATATTCAAAGGGCAAGGAAACTATGACATCCCACTTGAAAGGCTCTAGTTCATATCAAGCTTTTTTCACTCACTTCAAGTAGTGACTCTCAAGATAAACATTTCTGATTTCTGTTGACGAAGATTTGTAGATATGAGAGCAGCTGTTAGATGATCTACATCCAAACCACATTGCCAGCCAGTTAATATTTGTATGAAGTTACTTCCAACATTGATTTTGAAAAATACGCAGCTCATAGTGTAAGGTGTTCATAATCAACTGGAAGGTAGGAGACTGTTGTATGATTTATAGTCATTTCAGACTAAGGTGAATTACTACAAGGTTTTCTTGACATGATTAATTCAGAGGGGTTTGCCTTACCCTTCCTCTGAGTATCTGACTTGCGCAGTGGGTTTCCATGGCTGAGGGAAAAATGAAACTCTGGTCTCCAGAGTTCATTGTGTTAACATTTCGACCACAATATCATGCTGGCTCTTGGAGAAGGGTTACATGTATCTATTTATTTATGAAGGTATACATGACTAAATTGTTCCCATGTTTTGTTCTAATCTCACAATGAGCCGAAACACCTTGAAATTACGATTATGGATGCTGTGGTTTTAGTACAGAATTAAAATGCTTAATATGTATTAATTTTAATTTAATTTAATTTAATGCCATTGGAATTGTATGTGTTTTAAAGCACTGAATAATTGCCTGTATGTAAGCTGCCTTGAATCCCCTTTGGGTAGAGAAAAGCGGGGTATAAATAGGGTAAATAAATAAATGATTCCTGTAGGTGCTTCCAGGTATGTGTCTGAAGATAGATGCTCAAAAAGAAGGGGAATGCAACAAAGAAGACTCCAGCTGTGCCACAAGACCCCCTTGTCCAATGGCAAGACTTGCCTCAACTCCAAGCCTCAGCAGGTGCTTCACCACTTCAATCTGGCCACTGGCTGCTGCCGTGTGCAGCAGGGTGTAACCCTTCTTGTCTTTGCAAGTGACGTCAGCACCTCGAGCCACAAGCAGCTTCAAGACTTCTAAATGCCCTGAGAGGAGACAAGGCACAAAAACACAGAAATGTCATGAAATTTGAAGAAAGACTACCATTTCCCAAACAGCTCTGCAATCTGTTTTCATTGCTATGGCAGATGGGGTTTCTCTCAGTTTATATATTGGAATGCCACCTCCAAAAGTTGCCCAAGCCACAACCTTCAAACACCACCCTTGCATTGGAAATCCTTACATGGTGATCCCTGCAACAATTTGCTACATTGTTTTGCAAGGATCTTGTTAAGTTCCTATCAGTGATGAAATAGAAAGAATTTAATTCCACTTTTTAACTAACCAGAATTTCCTTCATTTCATACATAACTGAGAACTCCAAACCCAAACTATGGGCCAAATTAGATAAGTACCTAACTGAGAAAACTTTACAGAGATAGTAGCTTATAGGTTAGGTGTGGCCCCCATGGCAATTTTCAGAGACAATTCAAATGACCAGAGGGCTAAGGCAGGGCTGTATCTTAGCTCTTACTCTGTTTAACATATTCCTGAATGATCTTGAGATTGTGTAAAAGGAGAGTCCCCATTGTGCTGTATGCAGATGATACAGACACCCTCTCCAGGTTTAGACCAGGGGTCATACACCAACTTAGGAACTTTACAGAATATTGTGAAACAAATGAGCTAAATATAAACTTCAGCAACTGAGAACTTTGTTTTATTAAGAAATGGAAGTGCATGCTTCCAATCTCCTCCATGATTCCAGAGCAGGAAGAAGGGAGGGGAAGGGCAGAATATAAATACAAGGGTCTTATATGTAACATTAAACCACAGTTCAGCATTACAATCTAAAACTAGAAAGTAGGTCCCACCTTGGACTGAAAAACCAAAAAATGTATCCCCTAATGACCAAGTAGATCCCCACCCAAACTAGCTATTAAGTGTAAGTAAAAGTGTATTATGTCTGATCCAAAATGCCAACTATTATAAGACATCATTGATTAATTTGCTGCTGTGACATCATCGGTTCTGACCAGCTAGACAAAATATGCTTGTAAATACAGTCTGATATGCTAAAGAAGTTCAGACGGTAAATAAGTTGGTACAACTGTATGGGTACCCATTTACCATAGCTTTGCGCCTTAGAAATATGCCTGTCCTGCTCCAACCCCATGAGCCACCAAGTCCCTCATATAGAATAAATTTCACAGAATATATTTTCTGAGTGTCTGCATTACAAATATATGTGATTTAGCCACAATAACAGATTAGGTTTATCAGTATCTGCATTATAACATATATCTGTGCTCCAAATTACACTGCAATCATCTTTTTAAAAAACAAAGAAGAAGCTGTCATTGAAGAAGAAGAGTCATTAAAAATGGAAGGAAAAAGTAAATCTTCAAGTGAATGGCAGAGAAGACAACTTAAGTCAAAACTTGAGAGAATGTATATATTTGGACCAGATGTTATTCAGTCTGAGACCCCTATAAATTCTTAGGCTATTACCTAATGAAAGCATATTTGCAGCATCAAAGCTAGGAGTAAAAATCAGCAATGTCTAGTAAGGCATATTTGGGAAGTTCAGTGTCACTACACCAAATGGCACAACTTTCTAGACAAATCTAAATTCAATGTGGGAAATGCATTAGATTTGTAGGGAATTCTTCCACATATCATGAACACGTATTTGGCAAAAGAGGGAAGTATGTGTGGCTTCCAGTCACATGCAAGCTTGACATATGTGATAAACCACATATCAGATCATTGACTATTTGCTCTCAATCTTGCATTATGCAGGTGGTCAAGCGCTTCTTCAGTCTTGGTATGGAATACGTTTTCACCTTCAAAGGCTGATTTTCAAGGTTAGACCTAGTGTCAGAAGATACGGTGATGGAGCGAAACCATATAGGTTGGTGAAGAACAATGGAGGCAGACATTGCCTTTGAAGTGCAGTCAGCCACATGCCTAGCTGTGTGAATTTGTGTTGTAGCCAACTGGTATGTGTCTGCTTGGAGAATGTTGGCAACATGTCTATGTCCTTGAGGTAAGTGTTGAAACAATGGTGTACTTTCCCTCAGATAAGTTGCTGATAGGCAGCCGTGCAAGCTTGATTGCTTAGATGCATCAATAAAGCAGAAAACTACAACCTTCCACCATTCAGTCTGATTTTTTTCCTTCTCTGGCAAATGGAGTAGATTCAGATGATTTGCCACTTTTTGACTAAGAAGCCTCAACAACGACAGAATTGGGAGCAGGGTGGTGAAACAGAAAACTTGCATGTTCTTCTTGAACCTTGATGTGTAGAACTTTAAAAATGCTGTCGAGGCCATCTAAGAGGCCCCTGAGAGGGAAGAACATGCTTAATATGTATTAATTTTAATTTAATTTTAATTTTACTGGAATTGTATGTCTTAAGGCATTAAATAATTGTCTATATGTAAGCCACTTTGAGTCCTCTTCGGGGTAAAGAAAGGCAGGGTATAAAAAAGGTAAATAAGTAACAAATAAACAACTTGTACAGATGCTGAAGGATTCACTTTTCCTCCTTTTCTTGGTATTTTTTCCTTTTTGTAATGGCCAAAAAGACAGAGAGTAAGAAATACAAAAAGAAATATGTTTAAAGGGGAAAAGAAGAAACCCCCAGAACATTCCTAAAAGCGCTAATGTGGTGGACAAAAGGAACTGAGGAGATGTGGGGAAGGTGTGCTGCAACGTGTTCATTTAGTTTGGGGGGATGAGACTCCTTGCCAAATTTCTTATCTCAAGAATGTTTCATAGATGCCACTGTGTAGGCAACTAAAACTCCTTTGTGTGATTTCACAGAGACCAGGAAGAAGAATTATAAATTGATTTTAAATGTTCCAATGCAGAAAGTCGGCCACTGCCAATTTCATCTATTTCATTACCTTCTCCTGTGTTCTGCTCCTTTGCCTCTCTAGCTTTGCAGCACATCTAAATCCTGGCCAACTTACCAAATGAGAAAGGGGCAGATGACAGGAGCAGGAAAAGACAAGAATGAGTCACTGCTGCTCTGCTGCTCAGTGTCTAAACAGTAGAGATATTCTGTCTCACTGTTCATTCTCTTATGCACAATACTATAACAAGACAAAGGTATTCCGTGCTCTTTGCTGTGTATGTGCCTAGAATATTCTATTCCTCTGCACACCATAAACAAAATACGGAGGTCAGCTAGGATGATCACAAGAACAAAAAAAGACCTACCAAGGAAGGCTGCCCAATGTATTGGTTGTCTCTCCTTCTTGTCACATGTATTCAGATTGGCCCCTTTATTTAACAGGAGGTTAACCATCTAGGAAAAAGATTGAGAACAAAGGGTCACAAAAGTTAAAAACCAAATGTTATATCAAGTCAATATACAAACTCATTTATTTGGTGCACTCCGACTTCTCAAGTGTTGTAGAACTAGCCATTCTACTTTTTGGAATATAGCAACTCATGTCATACAGCATACTGAGTGCACATGGGCAGAGAGAGAGCCATTTTTGTCTCTTCTTGACCCTGAATCCTTGGCAAGGGGCAGGGGGAGGTCAGAATAGCAACTTGTGTAAGTGAAGTGCAGTAAAAAAAAGAAGAAAGGATTAAGAACTGTCTTTTCCCTGCTGCTTTCGCTGTCCAAATAACTCCCCTTACAAGCTGCTTTTCCCCTAAGGAGAACAGCTGTCCTTTACTATTCAGCCATGTTGGACACAGAGATCCCTGAAAGAGAACGTCACAACTCACCTCAATGTGCCCACTGTGTACAGCATGGTGCAGTGCTGTGCGGCCGGTGCGGTCTGCCACATTAACGCTACTAAGCAGGGAGATGATGGCCTCAGCACACTTGGTGGCTCTGTTGGCAGCAGCAACGTGTAGTGGTGTTTGCCAATACTTGTCACGAGCGTTGACATCTGCCGAGTGCTTTAGGAGGAGGTTAAGTGCCTTCTGCCAGGGACAGAAGAGACACAGCTGAGCAGGACAAGGGATCTTTGTAGGGACAATGACACAATAAGGAGTAAGGCAACAGTGTAATGCTGGGGGACAACAGACGTGAGATTCGGAAAGAGCCTTGTGGCCTGAAGAATTCGGAGAGAAATGCCAAGTGCCCAGCTACACAGATGTGGACTAAGTGAGCCTTTGCAAGAGAGAAGATACTAAAACATGCAGCAACCTGGCAACCATGAACGAAGACATGGGAAAACTTAATGACAATCTAAACAAGGATAGGAAATCTCAAAGCCTGGAACTTGAATATGACTTTATCCATGTCCCAACCCAACCCAAAGACAGCTACATCTCCATCCTGTGCCACTACTGTTTCAGGATTTCCCGATTTTGTTTGGGGTTTCCCCAAATGTTGATATGCTTCTCCTAAAGCTTATTAATCACCATAATGCACTTTAAAGTAAAAAAAAGTAAACCAATAGAAAAGGTAAAGCAATAGTGAGAGTAAGTGAAGCAATCTTGGAATTTCCAGTACAAAGAGGAGTTAGACAAAGTTGTCCGCTTTCACCATTACTATTTGTGCTAGGCATAGAAGACTTAGTAGACATAATGAGGAACACAAGAATAGAAGGATATGATATAGGTAGAGAACATATTAAACCAATCTCTTTGCAGATGATATAACAGCAATATTAATAGAACCTGTATGAGGGATAAGGGAACTGAAAATTATTCTAAAAGTATGAAATTATTCTAAAAGTAAAGAAATCTAAAATCATGTAGATGTAAATAAAACAGAAAAAAAGGAAACAGATAGAATGACAGGAATAGATATGGGCACAAAGAAATTAAATATTCAGGAGTGAAGATTTAGGAAGTGTAGGAAATACACCGCGGTAAGTTGTGTTGCCAATAACTGCACAATATTTTGGCAGTCTTAACTTCGTAAGCATGGAAAAGTGCTACCCACAAAGGACTAAGGGAAGCACTGAACTGGCACAGCAAGTACACAGTAACAACCAAGAAGACTTCCATAAGTCCAAACTTCCAATGTGTCACATATGTTAGGGATTCTTAGCTTCAAAAAGTCAAGGCTCTGTATTAATGAGATTAGTCTGAGTTCTAGGGAAGATCGCTCTCTCAAAGCAGCTTACTGTCAGGTCAAAGCTTCAAGATCCAGACATCCAGAGTAAGAACACTGGCGAATACCATGAAAGGCAATAGGGGCAGCAACAAGGTTTGACAACACCCTAATGGGGCATGTGCACAAAATGTGAGTAGTCAAGACCATCATCATTCCAAGGCTCTGTAAATATGTGATCAGAAGTGATTTCAGTTACACGAACATGCTGCTAATGTATAGTTTACCAAACCCAGCATAAAATTTGGGTCAGGATGACTGAGTAAAGAGGAAATAATGCAAAGGAAGCTATCAGAATCTGTCTGGGGAATTCAGATGCTGCCGCCACAGCTAATGAATGCTCTCTGGTGACTCGTGAGGCATAAGAACCTTGGCACGAGGCAAAAGTGGCCCAGTGCCCTACATTTTGACATTGCTCTCTGCCTCTGCTGTTAAAGAAAGATAATATACCACAGTCCCCCCTCCCCCACTCTCCCTCAAATTCTGCCTGAGATGAAGCCCCTACTTACTGAGGGAAGCCAGCCATCAGTAAAGTTGCTGACACTGTTTTAGAGCAAAGAGGTGAATTAATCGAGCCAGCTTAAGTGGTGCTTCTCAGATGTTGGAAATGGCCTGAAGCTGTGAGGCCAGCAGGAAAAAGCAATTATACAAGTTAACTGAATCGGGTGAAGAAGAACGGAAGCTTTTCCAGGAGGATACTCTCTAGGGACCACAGCCTTTGTGCAATTAATGGCAGAAACTTACTCCATAATCTTCTTTACAAGAAACGTATTTGCTGCATTGACAGAAAAGTCCAGTAAGATGTTACAGCATCATATTTACTATCCAGATATCCTATTTTATCAATTTATAGATGTTATCCTATTAACTGCAACACAAGTTTCTCATTCACTGAATCAATACAGGAGCACAGAAGGTCAGTGTCAGTAAGGGATTGTTCTACATTCCCTGACAGACATTGACAGTCTATGTGAGAAATTAACTGCCATTTACTGAATTATTTTTAATCACTTATGGGTGGAACTTTTTGTAAAAGAAGGATCAAAATGAAAATATGCACATAACTCTACCAACCTGTCCTTTCACACTGTAGTCCCACCAACAAAGTTTGGTTGTGAGCATCAGATAAGATTGACAGGCACAGAGTTTAGCCCATACTTGCCTTTAACTATAAACTTCATCACTGATAGCAAGCAAGAATAACATGTACAAGCATTCAACTTTATTAAACACTCCTTTTCTCTGTCTCCTTCTGTAGATGGAGTTTACAGAGAATTCTTTCAGTACCATCCTACTCTCCCCATTCTGGACTGCTCTGCCAGTTTCTCAAGCCTCATGGCTTTTAGCATGATTCAGGGTGAGATTGAGTTCGAGGGACAAATAAACTTCTTCAAAATACTGCTGTGGGAGACCAAATCTCCTCTGTTGTGTTAATGATGGACCAAAGTCGAGAGTATGACACCTACCTCATTACGAGAAGCTGCAGCACGGTGTAACGGGGTTAGCCAAAGGGTATCCTTTGCATTAACGTTAGCACCTAAGGGATAAAGCAAGTACAGACTATTGGACAACAGAAAGTAAGCACTGCTTGTCCTTGCATTTTAACGCCAGGATTGCTTGATCCTCTTAATCACAGTGCATATCTTGAGAGTTAGTGCTTGCTTTCTTGTAGCACACAAATTACAAGGTAGGGAACATTAACACTAAATTCTTAAAATTATCTGTCAAATTATCTGAGAAGTGAAAATACGGCATTACTGATGGCATTATTCCCCCAACCAATAGACATAGTATATTATTATCATATGCATGTCAAGGTTACTATTCTGAAAGTGGAAAAGTTCGGCTTCATTTCAGTAACAATAACTATTCAATTGTCAAAAACAACCCAATTTATTAGCGGAGTAGAAAATGTGATATTCTCTCAAAGGCAGAAATGCAAAATACTTCTACAAAATTGCCATAGAAGACACCATTAGTGAGACATTAAAGAACAATGCTTACAAAAACAGCTTTAAAGGGGGAAAAGAAATACAGATTTCATTAGGCATTAACAATTAGGTTTCACAACCATTTTGATCTTTATATTTGAAGAAAAGAGATTTAAGATGGAACCAGTGGTCTTCAAAAATTAAAACTAGCTTTAAAATTATATACCAGCAGTAGCCAACATATGCCATTTCAGTTAATTTGAGAAAACTTAGCCATGCATTAAGAACCATTTGTGCTTGTCAAGAAAAGCTAACTGTCCTGCAATGTACATCAGAAGAATTAGAGTGGATGGAGATTTCAGTTTCAAAACAGAATGACTTGACTGAATCAGAACATTTCCATAAATCTGTGTTCTAAAATCATGCTAGCACTAATAATATTACTACCAGCAATCTGCTAACTGTAGTGTTTTCCCGACTGAAGTACTAAAATACTTTATAGCTTCTCATTCATTCTTGCAATCATGCAAATCAGATTGCAAATCCCCCTTTAAAGAATTTGACTTGATGAACCATTACAACATAATGGGAGTTTGAGTCTGATGTTTGAACCAGAAACCAACTGTAGAACCACACAAACTCTATCACAATCATTTTCCAGCCATCTTTGACAATTTAGTCAGTGATATTAAAATATGTCCAAAAAATCCAGTGGTTATCACAATATAAAAAATCCAGTATTCCTCTTCCATTCTAGTAAAAGCAGAGCAACTCCTCACTTTGACCTGAAGTCATTACCTAGTAATGTTAACTCTGAATTGCATACTACTATTTCTTATATGAAAGTTAAAGGTATGCTTCGTTTTCTTCCTCAATTTATGGCTTTCTGCTGTCAAAACACTTAAGATATATTGTCAACTTTAAGTCATACACAAATGATACTCACCTGATAGAATAAGGAGTTCAACAATAGGGGCATCCCCCAAATATGCAGCTGCATGCAAAGGGGTTCGTCTCTCTTGGTCCTGATTTGGGAAACAAGGCAAGGATAATCAGAATGTACTTCAGCAGAATCCTGAAGATAAGCCTTTCATAATTTAGATCACCTTCCATGTAAAAATTACAATCTTGTTGTGCTTTTCTACAGTGAACTCTTTCGGTTTATGGCTATGGAGAACTATACTGTGACCTAAGACTTTTACAGCCTGAATCAACAACTGAATTTAAACAGAAAGTAGGATAAATGTAAACCTGTGTATATACAGAGCCGCTACTCCCAATCCCACCCTTTGCCTTATCTCATTATACATAAAGAATTTGTCTGCTGTAAGCAGAGTGTTTTATTAGAAAATGAATTTTCTTCAAGACTTGTTTCCTCCCCAAAAAATACACATGAATTTAACCCTTAAAATGCTTTCATCTTGAGCTGTACCATAAGATCTCAAGATCACACATAAAATAAATCAATTAATTTGATTTTAAGAAATAATTTAAGCAGTATAAATGCCCACTCAGCTTTTAAAACATAACAGTTTAAAGCCATGTGCCTGCATAAATCTGGGCAAAGCCATAAAGCCCCAATGATTCTAATAAAAAGTGGAACAGAGATGGAATCACAAATGCATTCAACTTATACACCTGTGACTTCTGTACAACTTACAAAATGTTAGTATAAATGTCCTGTTCTTTTAACAATATTTCCAGTAAAATACAAAATATAGACAGCCTGCTTGATTTCATTACTTGGTCATACTGACATATCATACTGACACTGGCTCACAAGGTTTACATCACATCATAATCGGAATGGCTACACTTCACTACATCCAGGTTAAATTAACTCTGTAAACTCACAAGAATATCGTGTTAAAGTATGTGGTCATCTTCCATCCTGACATGCAATCTTATTTTTACTTTGATGCTGCCTTTTCCAATTAATCTTGGAGATAATTCAACTACGAAGGACTACAAGTACTGAACCAAGAGACATTTTAAACTGTGTTTCTGTGAGATATTACGGGGTTTCTTAGAAGCTTGTCAGTGGTTCATCTACAGAAAGATCTACAATGGCAGATAGACCCTGAAAAACAGCTCAGTAAAACTACTGATGTTGCTGTGTAATTTCTGGTATACTGGGTATGATGGAGGAGATGACATTCAGATGAGGCAAAGGCAAGGTCTAAGGGGTGAAGCCATGGCCCCACATTAAGGAAGTGTGTGTCCCATCATTCTTTGCAACACAGTGAGACTCTACAGAGGAGTCTGAGTTCCTTAGCTGATGAGTTCACAACAAAGGCTAACCTAAAGGTAAAGTTTGGTAGCAAACAAGTTAATCTGACATGTCCTCCATGGAGCTAATAGAATAGCAATTAGGTTCCTAGAAAGACTGACATGACACAGACACTCCAGACCAGTCAATACACAATAATCTTAATGGCTGAATAAAAACTCAAAACTCTGCCTCCATCCATATTTGAGACTTAATCAGAAGTGGATGCCTATCTTCAGAGAATACACGCAAAGCCTGCAAACACAACCACATGATACAAACTCAAAGTACCAGATATTTTGAGATCTTCCGGGGAGGCCCTGCTCTCGATCCCGCCTGCCTCACAGGCACGTCTGGCGGGGACGAGAGATAGGGCCTTCTCGGTGGTGGCTCCTCGGCTGTGGAACACCCTTCCCGTGGACATCAGGTTAGCTCCCTCCCTGTTGATATTCCACAGGAAGTTAAAGACCTGGCTATTTAAGAAGGCATTTGATCAAGAAGTGCAATGACTGGTAATTTGACCATAGGAATGGAACAACGGAAATGATATCGGATTGTGGGTTTGACGATGAGACGACTCGGAATGGCTTTGTAGTAATGTTGATGTTTTGATGAGATGTTTTCTGATAATGTTGAATTGTGGATTATTTTACACTATGTTTTGTATTTTGCACCTGTTTTTCTATGTTGTACACCGCAATGAGTCGCCCTAGGGCTGAGAATTGCGGTATATAAGCGCAGTAAATAAATAAATAAATAATTCCAGTAAAGATTCTGTCGGCTGGGGATCTATGCCACAGGTGTCCCAAAACTGTACAACTCTAGATCCCGCTTCAGAAACAGAAGGGAATATGGATGTAACACATCTGCCCTGTGATTGCATGGACCTCTGGATTGCCAGATTCCAATATTAGAATTTAGGAATGTTGCTTTTATGATTACAATTCTCAAAACTGACATTTTTGTTGTAATGAATCAAAGCTGTTCCTACATCAGTTCAAAGCTGTTCCTACATCAGTCATCATATTGACCTAAATTCTGTTGGTTAGTCCCCATGAGAACAGACCCATTGAATCAACTGATGATGCATGGTGAATCAAGATATAGGTAAATCCCATTAGCTCAACTGGTTTACTCGAATCAAATCTAACAATACGAATTAGGCCACTGAGGGGAAAAAATATCCATAACTTCAAAACTTCCAGGAATATTACACTGCCTGAGGGCTGCAAGCATAAGCATTTACAACAAGAAGAACTAAATTAACACTAGATTTCTAAGTGAGTGCCCACTCGTTATCCCAAAAATCATTACCCTTCAGAGTCAGAAATGTTTATAGTACTGTAAAAAGCATCAAGAACCAGGCTGAATGGTCAAGTAAACACCGAGAAAGCATTCAAGACATTTGAATGAAAAACATCTTCAAAAACAAATGCTGTGCAATTTTGATCTGGAAGCATATGGATCTTCCAATTCAGTGTGCTTTTATGTTTCATGCCAAATATAAGTAACTAAGATAAGGCATGAAATATTTGCCAAAGGCTAACAAGAGGCAGAAAGAACCACTTAGAACCCAAATCAAATTAACCAACACTTCTCCTTTGGGCTTGGTGCCAAGTTTGGGCAATCGAGTAGCAAAATTAGTAAAATGGTAAGATACGAAACAAAACTTTTTTTTGATCGGCCAATTGGTAAAATTGTTAGAGAAATGGGCCAAAACTGACTGAGACATAGATTGACATGTTGAATTGTTAAAAAGAACCAGAAAGTTGGAATTAAACCAACAAGATCGAATTTTGTGTAGTTTTGTTTTTCAGCCTCACAGTCATAAGATGATTCAGTACAGATGAATCAATCCATTTTTAGCCATTTACTTTGCTAATTATTTTCTTAGGCACTAGCTTTTCTCCAATACACTCACTTTCTCTCTCTCTCTCACTCTCTCTCAATTTCCTGCCACCCCACATCATGCAGAGTGAACAAGCAAAATCAAAGGATAACTTATAGTACCCATCCTGTTGTAACAACAATAGTTGTGCTACAGAACAACTTTTTCTATTCAGGGAAATGTCCAAACAAGTGTAACTACATTATCATCAGCATGTTGGAATTCTACAACAGATATTGTTGTGACCTTGGTTTGGTTTTAAATCTGCTGAGTTTAAATAGCTTGCCATCTGTCCGACAGATGATTTCCATGCCAGTGGGTAGCTTCCTATCAACAAAGTGCATGCTATCAACTAAGTGCAGCATCATAGTGATGAAGATGAGGTTGGGGAAATAACACATCACTGATTGGAAACCTGATTCCATCTTAAATTGGTCACTTTGGGAGTCACTGCTGTCCAAGACTGTTGCCATCATGTCAGCATGGAGGATCCGCAAGTAATTCACAAATTTGTCAGGGCAACCAATTTTTTGGAGGATGGTTCAGAGAACACTGCGATTCACTGTGTCAAATGCCTTTGCAAGGTCAATGACTGCCATGAATTACAAACTAAATTACAAACTACATATGTTTGTTGTTGTTCATTCGTTCAGTCGTCTCCGACTCTTCGTGACCTCATGGACCAGCCCACGCCAGAGCTCCCTGTCGGCCGTTACCACCCCCAGCTCCCTCAAGGTCAGTACAGTCACTTCAAGGATGCCATCCATCCATCTTGCCCTTGGTCGGCCCCTCTTCCTTTTGCCTTCCACTTTCCCCAGCATAATTGTCTTCTCTAGGCTTTCCTGTCTCCTCATGATGTGGCCAAAGTACTTCAACTTTGTCTCTAGTATCTTTCCCTCCAGTGAGCTAGTCGGGCATTATTTCCTGGAGGATGGACTGGTTGGATCTTCTCGCAGTCCAAGGCACTCCGAACTTTCCTCCAACACCACAGCTCAAAAGCATCGATCTTCCTTCGCTCAGCCTTCCCTAAGGTCCAGCTCTCACATCCGTAGGTTACTACAGGGAATACCATGGCTTTGACTAGGCGGATCTTTGTTGCCAGTGTGATGTCTCTACTCTTAACTATTTTATCGAGAATGGACATTGCTCTCCTCCCAAGAAGTAAGCGTCTTCTGATTTCCTGGCCACAGTCTGCATCTGCAGTAATCTTTGCACCTAGAAATACAAAGTCTGTCACTGCCTCCACAGTTTCTCCCTCTATTTTCCAGTTGTCAATCATTCTTGTTGCCATAATCTTGGTTTTTTTGACGTTTAGCTGCAACCCGGCTTTTGCGCTTTCTTCTTTCACCTTGATTAGAAGGCTCCTCAGCTCCTCCTCGCTTTCGGCCATCAGAGTGGTGTCATCTGCATATCTGAGGTTGTTAATGTTTCTTCCAGCAGTTTTCACCCCAGCTTTGCATTCATCCAGCCCCGCACATCGCATGATGTGTTCTGCATACAAGTTAAAAAGGTTGGGTGAGAGGATGCAGCCTTGCCGTACGCCTTTCCCAATCTGTGAACCAGTCTGTTGTTCCGTGGTCAGTTCTGACTGTTGCTACTTGGTCCTTGTACAGATTCCTCAGGAGAGAGACAAGGTGGCTTGGGATGCCCATCCCACTAAGAACTTGCCACAATTTATTATGATCCACACAGTCAAAGGCTTTAGAATAGTCAATGAAGCAGAAGTAGATGTTTTTCTGAAACTCCCTGCCTTTCTCCATTATCCAGCGGATATTGGCAATCTGGTCTCTCGTTCCTCTGCCTTTTCTAAACCCAGCTTGAACATCTGGCAACTCGCGCTCCATGTATTGCTGGAGTCTTCCTTGCAGGATCTTGAGCATTACCTTACTGGCATGAGAAATAAGGGCCACTGTACGGAAGTTTGAGCAGTCTTTCGCATTTCCCTTTTTTGGTATGGGGATATAAGTTGATTTTTTCCAGTCTGATGGCCATTCTTGTGTTTTCCATATTTGCTGGTAAATGGCATGCATCACCTTGACAGCATCATCTTTTAAGATTTTAAACAGTTCAGCTGGGATCCCGTCATCTCCTGCTGCCTTGTTGTTAGCAATGCTTCTTAAGGCCCATTCAACCTTCACTCCTCAGGATGTCTGGTTCTAATTCATTCACCACACCGTCAAAACTATCCTCGATATTATCCTTCCTATACAGATCTTCTGTATAGTCTCGCCACCTTCTCTTGATCTCTTCAGCTTCTGTTAGGTGCCTGCCATCTTTGTTTCTTATCATACCAATTTTTGCCTGAAATTTACCTCCAATGTTTCTAATTTTCTGGAAGAGGTCTCTTGTCCTTCCTATTCTGTTGTCTTCTTCCACTTCCATGCATTGCTTATTTAAAAATAGTTCCTTATCTCTTCTGGCTAACCTCTGGAATTGCGCATTTAACTGGGCATATCTCCCCTTATCCCTGTTTCCTTTTGCTTTCCTCCTTTCTTGGGCTACTTCCAGTGTCTCAGCAGACAACCATTTTGCATTCTTGGTTTTCTTTTTCTTTGGGACGTACTTTGTTGCCGCCTCCTGAACAATGTCGCGGACTTCTGTCCATAGTTCTTCTGGGACTCTGTTTACTAAATCTAGTCCTTCAAATCTGTTCTTCACTTCCACTGTATATTCGCTAGGAATGTTAGTGAGATCATATCTAACCGGTCTGTGTATTTTCCCTGATCTCTTTAGTTTTATTCTAAATTGGGCAATAAGAAGTTCGTGATCTGAGCTACAGTCAGCCCCAGGTCTTGTTTTCACCGACTGGATGGATGTCCGCCACCTTTGGCTGCAAAGGATGTAGTCAATCTGATTTCGGTGTTGACCATCTGGTGAGGTCCATGTATAAAGCCGTCTTTTAGGTTGTTGGAAGAGAGTGTTTGTTATACACAGCGAGTTTTCCTGGCAAAATTCTATCAGCCTGCGTCCCGCTTCATTTTGTTCTCCCAGACCATGCTTGCCTGTGATCCCAGTTGTCATTTGACTTCCCACCTTGGCATTCCAGTCTCCTGTAATGAAAATAATGTCTCTTTTTGGTGTATTATCCAGTAGGTCCTGCAGATCCTCATAGAACTGATCTACTTCTGCTTCTTCAGCAGCTGTGGTTGGGGCATATATTTGGATCACTGTAATGTTGAAAGGCTTTCCTTGCACTCGAATTGAGATCATTCTGTCATTTTTTGGATTGTATCCAAGCACTGCTTTAGCGAATTTCTTATTAATTATGAAGGCTACTCCATTTCTTCGATGTTCCTCTTGTCCGCAGTAGTAGATCTGGTGGTCATCTGATGTGAAGTGGCCCATTCCAGTCCATTTCAGTTTGCTGACCCCCAGAATGTCTATCTTTAGTCTTGACATCTCGCCAATAACAACATCCAATTTGCCCTGGCTCATAGATCTTACATTCCAGGTTCCTATGGTGTGTTGATCTTTAGAGCATCGGATTCGTCGTTCACCTCCAGTACCGTCGGCCGCTAGCCTTCCTTTCGGCTTTCAGCTAGCTGCGTCATCACATCTGGGGCTAGTTGAACTTATCCTCTGCTCCTCCCCAGTAGCATTTTGGCCATCTTCCGACCTGGGAGTCCCATCTTCCAATGGCATATCGACATATCTCTGGTTGTACTGGTCCATTTAGTTTTCTTGGCAAGGATACTGGAGTGGTTTGCCATTGCCTTCCCCAGGGATCACGCTTGGTCTGACCTCTCTGCCACAACCGTCCCGTCTTGGGTGGCCCTTCACGGTTTCGCTCATGACATCATTGAGGTGCTCAAGCTCCAGCGCCCCGACAAGGCGGTGATCCTTTGCTGGAGACTACATATGTTACTAAATAATTTTGATCAGTAAACCATTTAGAATAAGTTCAGCTTTCAAATATCCATTGACATTCATCTATAGTGTGATGTAGTGGTCTGAGCAGTGGAAAACTTTGAGGACCAAGGTTGAAATCCTTGCTCAGTTGTTGAACCCACTGGTCACCATACTTTGGGCAAGTCACTTTCTGTCCATCTGAGAGGAAGACCAAGGTAAATGCTCTCTAAACCCATCTTCCCAAGAAAGCCTCTCATGATCATCACTGGTCAGAACCAACCTGAAGGCACACAACATCAATCTACCCACCCACTGCACTGCTATTCCACTCTCCTCTTCCCACTCAATTAATCTCTGGTTCCTCATCCCAACTCCTAAGCAATTCCAGCTTGTTCTATGTTACAGGTGAATGCACCTCTGAAATTCTATCATTTCATTATACCAGGATACAAGCAATGCAAAGCCTTAAAGTTTGGCTTTTCTTTCCATCACAGTTAAATCTAACAAAAAAATATGTTATACAGAATAGATAGAACATTTTACTTTCCATGTAGGTTTATTTCTCTGCTCACGTGTTTATTATCTAAATGTGTCTGTTTTGCTAACAATGTCCTCCAGTGAACTTGCTATCTGAATGTGGAGATGATTTGCCCCTTTACAATCAAGAAGTGGACTAGGTATTCTTGTCCTTATGAATCACTGGCTTCCTATTTTAATAAGCAGCCAACTGCATCCTATTAGAAAGCTGTCTTAAAACAGGGTGTTCTCATTATCCTACTAGATTTAACAGCTGCCAGTCTTTTCACTTGATTGCTTATATGTCATCAGTTTAACCCTATCATTCTTAGGCACCTTCCACAAAGCTGAATAAAATCCCACATTTTCTGCTTTAAACTGGAATATATGGCAGTGTGAACTGATAACCCAGTTCAAAGCAGATTTTGTGGGATTTTCTGCCTTGATATTCTGTGTTATATAGCTGTGTGGAAGGGTAGCTAGTGCAACCAACATATTTTATAAAATCTTATTTACATTCATCTGCTCATGTATTTCCATATAAAAGTCAATTATATAGCTACAAAAAAGCTATGCACCAATTCTTCAAAACCACATTTATCACAAAATCATACTTTACAATGTACGGTAATTTGATCCACTTAAGAAAATACCCAAATATCTTTTCCACAGAAATTCTCTCTAAAGCCAAATGCTAGATTATTTTGAAACAATGGAGTCCAAAACAGAATAAATCAATGCAAATGAGGTTGTACTGATGATTTCTACAAAGATATTAACTACCTCCATACTCTACTGGAAATAGTCTCCAAATATGTATATGTAAGCATGAGTACTGCTAATATAGTCAACCCCCCCCCCCCCAAAGACTTTAGATTCACATGCCAGGAAGACAAGCTCAGATTCTTAAGTGTCAAATCTCCTGGATTGTTGCAGACATTGAGAGATTCTCCATGTTCTTGCTCCTCCCCAATTCTCATACCAAATGAATTTATAATAATATAAACCTTGTCACCAACTGTGCTACTTAGTGATAGCGCAAGGTATATACTACATATGCCTATGCTGAATGAGCCAAAGGGATACAAAGAGCCAATTACTAACTTGTGGACAATACAAGAAAGGGTTTTTTTCAAAGCCACTGTTAACACATGCTGTTCTCACTCAGAGACCACAAGACTAATCCAGAACACATTCAGTTCCAAAGACAACAGCTGATGCAGTGCTACCCACTTGTTCCGTAGTTATACCACTACATATGGCACAGCCAATTCCCAATGAAGTCAACGTTTACTAATGATATGCAAGGTTTTCTGTTGTATGTATAAATTCTGAACATGCAAAGTATTTCATCAACCTAATTACACTCCTAGAACAAGCTTGTGTCCACAACTATTCCTATTTCATAAATGGGGAGCAGATGACAAAATAAATCAAATCACACTGAAAGAAGCTGACTAAGAACATGATTGAACTGAATTCTAAAGAGAGATCTCTCCAATGCTAATAAGCAAGCTCTGCATTAAAATGACCATATTCAAAAATAGTTAAACATTTGAGCTTGTAAGTATTTGTATATGTACTTTTTGAGAAGACACATTAAAAACAACACACTGCAATTGGATGTTGATCATGTAACAAGTTTATGTCGGAGGAATATAATAATAATAATAATAATAATAATAATAATAATTTATATTCTGCTCTATCTCCCCAAAGGGACTCAGGGAGGATTCCAAACATAAAAGACAAACATTCAATGCCCAAATATAACAACAATACATCCATACTAACAAAATTTATACAACCCAACATATAAACACGAATTATAACTTAACAAAGTAAAATTAAATAAAAAGCACAGCCTGTTATAACAGACATAAGGCAAAACATCAAACATTGAATGGAAATTGTGCTTTTTAACATCTATATCCCACCACTGGGAGAGATTACCAATGTACTGATGACATTCAACTCTATCTCTCCTTCCCATCTGATTTTAAGGAATCTGTCTCTGAATTGAACCAATCTCAGCTGCTGGTAACAGACTTCATGACTTCAATAATTTCCCATTTCCTCGTGGCAAATTGATTAACCATTGCTCAAGATATCTACTGAGCTGGTGGGGTGAGCAGGGCCCCACCAGCTCAACGATCATTCCGTCTCTATTCACATTGTGGACAGAAGGCATTCCACATGGTTACAAGTGAGGCAAGTAGCAAAGAAGCAGAATCAGCAGGTGGAAGAAAAATTATTGCTCCAATACTTACCAACACATTGATATTCTCCTTCTGACTCAGCAGTGACCGCACCTCCTCTATATCGCGGTTAAAGATGGCTTGGACCAGAGGAGGCTATAGAGGGGGAAAATGAAGTACTTATTTATTTATTTATTTATTTTATTTATTTATACGCTTGTATACCGCTAATATCTCAGCCTAAGTCGGCGACTCATTGCGGTTTACAACATTTAAAAAACAGTATTCAGTTTAAAAGCATAAAACACATTATTATTATTATTATTTATTATTATTATTATTAACTTTATTTGTACCCCGCTAGCATCTCCCGAGGACTCGATGCGGCTTACACAGGCCGAAGCCGCAAACACAATACAGTAAAACAATAGCAGAGCAAATCAAAACAATAAGCAAATAACGACAATGACAATACAACAAGACATTATTAAAAACTGGTTCGGCCGGCGCAATGGGGTACAGGGTTAAAAGTGCTGAAATGGTAGGAGGCACGTAGGATTAAAAGTGCGGTGTGCAGCAGCGATTAGTTATGCTAAGGTGCTACTAGGACTTGGGGTGGGGATTTCTAGTCTGAAAAGGCACATCGGAACAGCCAAGTTTTTAAATTCCTTCTGAAAACAGCTAGAGTGGGGGCCTGTCGGAGATCTTTTGGGAGGGCGTTCCAAAGTCGGGGGGCCGCCACAGAGAAGGCCCTGTCCCGTGTCCCCACCAAGCGCGCTTGCGATGTAGGTGGGATCACGAGCAGGGCCTCCCCAGATGACCGAAGCGAGCGTGTGGGTTCGTAGATGGTGATGCGGTCACGCAAGTAGGGTGGTCCCAAACCGTTTAGGGCTTTGTAGGTGAGCACCTGCACCTTGAATTGGGCTCGGAAAATGAATGGCAGCCAGTGGAGCTCCTTAAACAGAGGGGTAGACCTCTCTTGATAATGAGCCCCGTTAGCATCCTAGCTGCTGCCCGCTGGACCAATTGGAGTTTCCGGGCCGTCTTCAAGGGCAGCCCCACGTAGAGCGCATTGCAGTAGTCCATTCTAGAGGTGACCAAGGCATGGACCACCCCGGCCAGATCAGCCTTCATGAGGGATGGTCGCAGTTGGCGCACAAGTCTCAGTTGCGCAAAGGCCCTCCCGGATACCGCCGACACCTGAGCCTCAAGTGTAAGCGAAGAATCCAAGAGGACACCCAAACTGCGGACCTGTGATTTCAGGGGGAGTGCAACCCATCCAGCACAGGTTGCCACCCAATACCCTGGTCAGCCAAGCGACTGAACTGGAGGACATCTGTCTTATCAGGATTGATCCTCAGCTTGTCCTTCCTCATCCAGGTCATCACAGCAGCCAGGCACTGGTCCAACACCCGAGAGGCCTCCTTGGAATTAGGTGGAAAAGAGTAGTAGAGTTGTGCGTCATCTGCGTAGAGATGGCACCCAACTCCAAAACTCCGGATGACCTCTCACAGCGGTTTCATGTAGATGTTAAAGAGCATGGGGGACAAAATAGAGCCTTGCGGGACCCCACAGGTCAAAGGCCAGGGGTCAGAGCAGGCGTCTCCCAGCTTCACCATCTGAGTTCGTCCCTCCAGGAAGGACTGGAGCCACGACAAAACCGTGCCCCCAAGGCCCATCCCGGAGAGACGACCCAGAAGGATACCATGATCGATGGTATCGAAAGCCGCTGAGATGTCCAAGAGAACCAGCAGAGTCACACTCCCCCTGTCCAGCTCTCTGCGGAGGTCATCCACCAAGGCGACCAAGGCTGTCTCGGTGCCATGACCAGGCCTGAAACCAGACTGTGACTGATCTAGGTAGTTGGTATCGTCCAGGAAACTCTGGAGCTGGGAAGCGACCACCCGCTCCAACACCTTGCCCAGAAAAGGGAGGTTAGAGATCGGTCTGTAGTTACTCAGCACCGTGGAGTCAAGGGAAGCTTACATATACAGTACAAAGTATTGGGCCACCAATAATAATCCATGTTCTTGCTCCTTTCAATAATCCATGTTCTTGCTCCTTTCAATAGATCGCAGCGAGGGAGCTGCTCTGCTCCGTACTGTTAATATGCAAAAAGGCGATACCATAATGTGCTATGCTTTCTCCTACAACTCCATACTCTGTGGTTATTGTCCCGACAGTGTCTCATGGCAGTTGTAGTCCAAAACATAATGGCTTATATTTTGCCATTACAAGTAGCTGGAATTCATCCTTTCTCCTCATTACAGATTAGTTACGTGAATGCATATTTTATTTCACTTATAAATATTCATTCACGTAATGCATATCACGTTCAGGTGTGGGGAATCTTTGGACTGCCAGAAGTTCTGGACTACACTATCATAATGAATTGCCATAAGCCATGTTGGTTGGGTGGGTATACTGGGAACTACAGGCCAAGGCACCTGACGGGACCAAAGATTTTCAACCCTGATTTAACTGCTAACGTGCGCAACCATTTTCCTTGCTACTTCTGGCTCCACTGTTATTAGATTGTTTTCCAAGCAGCCAAGAACAGGCAGCCTGAGCTCTTCCAATCCTTCCCAGTGCTGCTAGACACCCACCCATTTCAGATACAAAGTGGCTAGTTTAGCTCTTCCAAAAGTTCAGTTTGTGCGTGTGACTTCAAATCACCTGTCACCTAATATGGACCCTAGGAATTGCATAGGGTTTTTTTTAGGCAAGTAATATCCAGAGATGGTTTTGCCAGTTAATTCCTCTATGAGGATGCCCCTGAACAGTGGGTTCCTGGTATCAACTGGGCTTTGTTTCCAGGAACCCCATCCTCACCCCCCATGGATACCAAAATCTGTAAATGCTCAAGTTTCATTTTAAGCAACTGATTTTAAACTGGATATAAGTGATTTTAATGTTTGTATATATTTATGATTTATGTCTTGGCATTGAATGTTTGCCACATATATGTATATATGTTGTGTTCTGCCCTGAGTCCCCTGCGGGGTGAGAAGGGTGGAATATAAATGTTCTAAATAAATAAATAAACCCATTCTATAAAATGATAACATCAAGGATTGATTTTTTAAAAGCATTCTCAAGCCGTGGTTGGTTGAATCAGTAGATCAGGCCTGAAAAATCTGTGTCCATCCAGGTGTATTGGAAACCAGTTCCCAGAATTCCTCATCACTGGACAAGGTGGCTAGGGCTTCTTGGAATTGCAAGTCCCAAACCTGGGAAGCCACGTGTTGTACACTTCTGAAGTAGATAAAGAACCCACTGATATTGCTGTACATATGTTTAGTAATGGTAATAGTCTCCCAATTTCTAGAAGGCAACCCAATGTAAGGATTAATCAAATGTAGGGGGATCTCTCTTACATTTGGGTGATAAAGCACTGGTGGACTAACACCTCATTTCTCAACTGCTTCAGTTGTAGCTTTATATGTTCTCCTTCATCATTAAAATTTTGATGGTCTGCTAAATGTCCAAGGAATCTCCCCCACTGCATTACCCTGGTGCTGGAGTTTTGGGCATGCTTCTGACAGCCAGGACTCCAGGACCAGACTCCACCATCCATCACAGAAGTTCTCCTGTGAAAACGGTCCACTTATAGCTCACAGAAGACTAGACACCTTTGCCTTAACAACCAGCTTTGAAGAAGCTTCCACAAGAGCTCTTGCAGCTCATCCCATACAGATTCTCTACATGATGAAAAAGAGAAAATGGCAACCACCAGCCTCAAGCCCAAAGTTAACCGAGTTTTTTTCTCAGAATCTAGGGAGAATATCTTAAAAGTCCACGTATCAGATGGTTATTGATAAGAAAAGTTACCTATTACAGGGAGCATGTAGTTTAAATATAGCTTGAACAATCAAGAAACTTCACCAGCGCGTTCACATTTAAACATGTTGCATTCAAGATCATGACCCAAATATGTTACATTACATTTAAATTGTTTTACACTAATTAAATTTGATTGAGAAACCCAAGAAAGAAAAGCCTCTGTATTCTAGATTTTATATAATTGTTTAAATTTCATTTAGATTACCATATATTATTTGCGAGAAAAACAAACAAGGTATGGCAATAAATGACTTCCTTTTTCTCTTAATGATGCATGAAGGTAGACAGGCAATTTGTATTCTGACTTTTCAGAGGTGTAAAAATTGCTGTAATCAAATCTGATGTTTACACAGGGATCCTATTGCTGAGACACAGCTTGATTCCATACCTCAATCTCATTAACCAGGGTAAGACTACCTAACAAAACAAAACAAACAAAAGAGCATCAGGAACCTAACCACTAAAATCTAAAATCTGCCACATCTGTACTTTTTCAAAGTATCTTCTTCTTTATACCTAAGCCTGGAAAATTGAGATAGCTTAGAAGTTGACTTAAAAATACTCAACTTATCTGAGAAGAAAGTACACTGACCCAGGAATACAATGCCCATTTGGTTAATTCATCAGAAGCTACACCTCTTTTCACCACCCAGCATCATACCAACACACTTCAAAATCCTGCTGCTTATTTCTCCGTATGATGATTAAAATGTAAATTCATTTTGACTGCATAACTTGACCAAGTCTTTCTTAACGCAGGCACAATACATAGCACATCTGAAAGACTTAAGAGTCATTGTTGGGCACTCTAGAGTGCAAAGCATATATCTAACAGGAATACACAAGCCAAACCGTTCCTTTATCCTCTTGGCACAGCTAAAAACTGCAGTCCCAATAAGAGAAAGGAAAATCGTGCACAGAGTGGTACTCAGTGCCCTTGTAGGCTTTCTTACGCGCATGAATACAGACTAGTACAAGGCAGCACTAAGGCCGATCTCATCGGCTCAGCTCATCTTCCACAGGAAAACCTTCAATCTTTGTTCTTCCTCCCACAGAAACCTTTTGGTCCAGCTAACCTCTGGTTTGGAGCCAGTATGATGTAATGGTCTTAGTGTTGGGGTCTGAATCCCACCCAGCCATGGGAACCCCTTGAGTGACCTTAGGAAAATTACACTCTCTTGTCCTCAGAGGAAGGCAACGGCAAACTTTCTCTGATAAATTTTGTCAGAAGTCAGAAATGACTGGAGAGCATACAGCAACAAGAAATAACCCCTGGTTTACTCAAGTTCTTGGATAAAGCTGCAAAAGGAGGG